AAATATATGTGATCGCTTTATAGTCTTTTCGAAGGGTATACATGTAGGAACGCCAAGTACCCCAACACATTTAAGGGTCAAATTGAAGTTATATTACCAAATCTGGGTCTTTTTTATAATGGCAGAATGGATATCTCTGAAACGCAATGAGGATCACCCTAAGATAATAACGTTAAGAATTAGTCTGAAAGTAGTTGAAGAATTTTGATAAATAGTGGCATAATGTTACTTTACTTCCGGTTGTTGAGATTTAGTTTAATGAATTTGCTCGATCCCATCAAAGAGTGAAATCAATATTAAAGATACATTATGGGAGATAAGATAAAGAGATGGCAGTTCTCGCTATAATAGTTAAAAACTAGATAGTGTAAAGGTAATTTGCTGAAAATTTCAGTCAAATTGATCCACTATGAGCCGAGAAAGAGCCGGTGAAATTTTTGCATAGTCTCGGTTACCATTACTAAAATCATTAATATAAACAGCATAGTCTCGGTTATCCATTTTTTCTGATTTAATTATCTTTGGCCTTTAGCGGCATATAGGAATCTAATCCAGCCTACATCGAAGGCTAGCCTTGACATCCAGAGTTTATTATGGTCTGGATAAGTTAATTAATGTCCAATTGATAATTTAGATAACATTTATGGCCTAAAGAAAGACTTGTAATAAGCAGATTTTGCTGTTGCATAATGCATGTTTAAGTTTGTTGAACTTTGGAATTATCTCTGTTACCTTGGTTGTAATAGGTTTATTTCATCTGATTTTACATAATTATATGAAATGTTTCTTTTCTTATATTTCTCAGTAGTAGGCGCTATACTTGAGTATTGGATTGGCGGTCGTGGGTAAATAATGATCCAGACATCATCAAACCCCTGCACGCCGCTGAGAATATTGGCACCGTGAAGGGACATATTTAGACATTGTAGACTTCTTCATTCTCCTAAAACTTATGATGGACTGCAGCTAAATAAATTCAGAACCTATCGCCAGGATTATGCAAGAGCAGCTTTTAACGACGGTTGCCCCTGCTTAAACCTGGCAATAGGTTATGAATTTATCTGCAATCCATCATTACTTTTAGAAGAATCACTGCCTCGCCTTCCTTCCTTCAATACCACGTGGCTGGTCCATTTCCTGCCCAGTTGAAAAAGCATCGCTCAATCAACATAACTATTAAATTTTGTTTAAATCCATTAAAGGGTTTGGAGGAGTCGAAAATTTGTTTATCAAGGTGTTTTTTCACAAAAACTATGGGATCAAACAATTGCATTCGATATAAGCAACATTCATGCAAATAATAGTTATTAATATTCCCCAATTACATTCAGGCAAACTCTTTTGTTTATCATCTTAGGGTTATCCTTACCCCATTTCAGAAAAATCCATTCCGGCATTATGAAAAAGAAGCAGATTTTGTACAAAATATATTCTAGTTGACCCTTACATGTGTTGGGATTTGGGTGCCTATACCCTTTTAAAAGAGTATGAATTCCCCAATTCCAATACGCCGACTATTATTAGAAACAAACCTATTCAGTGACCTTGAAGCATACAGTTTGTAGTGTGTACCACGCGTTTGCCATTAGATCGCGATAGTTTTATGCAAAAGGTCAAAAGACCGAACTATCAATCCTACATTATGCTGCATTACAGACTACAGAAACCACCATCGCCTCTTTGGAATGGGTGGAAAGTAATGAATGGTAAGTGTTTGTCTGTATGATATACATCTGATGCCCTATGCCTCGGTGTTTAAACAACTTCTTAGTCGTTAATTCCCTCAATAACAATACTTCTCAATCTGTGTGCGGGTGTCCCAATAACAATACTTCTCAATCTGTGTGCGGGTGTCCCATATATGACTCAAAATACTCAGACTCCTTGCATATGTTTTCTGACACTATGAGAGTCATACTGTGAAATACATTATGTAGTGCATTATAATGTATTATGATAGCTGAATATATGTAGGATAAGATTCATGGATGTCTGGAACAATTTATGGTTGTTATTATTACGTGTGTAAGTCTGTAGTCGCGGAAATTCTTAATTTTTGTATGGTATCTCCTTTCATATTAGTTCTATCAGCTTGGAAATGGCATAATCGCGTTTTTCGTCCCCCAATGCCCTGAAACGACATTTTGGATTTTGGTGGCCATATTGGATCAACCGTTTGTGAAATGAATCGGAAACCGTCCAAAACGTGTCGGGTGGCCATCAAAACCTATAAAATGAAATATCACACGGGTCATTTCACCAACAATGTTTGTCAAGATTAATTTCAGAAATTGGAGCAACCGTTTGTGAGATGAATCGGAAACTGTTCAAAATGAGTCCGGTGGCCAACAAAACCTGTAAAATGGTATATTACACGGGTTATTTGGCCAACAATGTTTGTCAAGATCAGTTTCAGACCATTTTGGTCACCATCCGCCATCTTGGATTTTTGGCTCTCAGGAGTTATCCCGTAGATTTCAGGGGTAGCAAACTACAAATATCTTCACTAGGGTCCGTTTTCTATCAGAAACCATTGCCAAACCTTGTTCCCAGAGAAATGATCGTGGATCTGGGGGTTGTGACCCGACTAATTATGATTATTGACTATTTTGTTCTCTTCTTTTTTCGGGAACAGGTGCTGTTACTATGGGAATATTACGAATCTAAGAAACATAGTGTATATGTATTCATTTTAGTGTACATGAAATACATGAGAAAAATAGGTCAGAAAAAGGGATCCCTAGATAATTGGAAATTCTAAAAATAATAAGATATTTGGATGATGAGATCAGATTTAATCTCAAACAAACACACTTTTATCACACAGTTGGTTGTCTGTGTTGTTGGTAATATATCCAGGATTATATTACTATCCATAATTACCTTACAAGCGTCTGTGAATACATTGTGAGACGGGAGAAAATGGATTAAATAAAAAAGACATCTTTAATGTAAAAGGCGGCAATTACTCGTTTCTAACCTGGATTTTCTGAATCTGGGTTGTCTGGGTTATATGTAACAGCAAAGGCAACAATAAAGGCAATTGCAGCTGCCAAGGCCACGGCTCCAAACACAATTAACGATTTCTCTAATGTAGATCTTTGGTTCCACCATCCTCCTTTCTGAAAACTATTTTGGAAGACATGTAGCTATTAGATATGAATATGATTTTTTTCGGTTTTTTATTTGTTTTTCATTCTTCTTTACCGACATACTTTATAGCATCGGTATTGAATTACAACATAAAAATCGATGACATTTAGTATTTGACACAAAGCAATATTTTCTAAAACTTGTCATTAAAAAGCCCGTTCCGGCGGTCCTCGCGCAGCGAGTGGACTGTAATTTTTCTACCATACTTTTTTAAAGACTAAAGATTAAGACAGTAGCTAAGACAATGGTAACAGTTTTCTGTGGTTGTTTTCGATATAAATACAACCTATATATGACGTATTTTTTTATTTATTTTTCATTGTAGAACCTCACAGACACAAAACGAAACGTCAAAATATGTAATAGTCAAATAAAAGACGAACGCCGCTAAACTATTAAGATATTCGTTTTTACTTAATGCCCCCGTTAGACCGGGGTGGCGCCCTTACTGCCCTGCTGCGACCGTACGGCGACCAGAAAACGCACAAGGTCGCCGGCAAACGTGAACACAACACGCGAAAATGTCTCAAAAAATTAAAAACTTGAAAAAAGTCGTGTTCTCATAGCTTTCCAGTTCAGATCGCAGAACCTTGGCGTTTGTTTTGAACATGCTCAAAAAACACGCCGTGACTCGGCGATCATTGGCGACCATGGTGACCACAGCACGATAGCTGGTGTTTCCACCACGCTTATGGCGATCTTAACGCGCTCTAAAACCATTTTCCGTCGCCGTAGCAGCGAAGTAAGGACGCCACTCTGGTCTGACGGGGGTATAAAGAACTGACATAATCTACAAAATATAAAATTCTATACTATATTTACCGTATATCATTAACGCCGGTGGCATAAACTTTTGCACTAGTCCCTTCCATGGTATATCGTACAGATGTAAATTCATTGTCTCTGACTTGAAATTTATAACTGATATACTATCTCTGAGGATACTTGATTTACGGATTTTGAGGACCAATAAACATATTCTTGATTTACAGATTTGGATAAATAGTTATATATTTAACTCAATGAGAACATGTGACCATATACTCCTCTGGTATCGTGAATCTAGGAAATTGTTACCCACTGTACAGTTCAATGTTGCTTTTTGCGGTAGTATATATTTACTACACATACATAAATATGGCCTGTCATTGAGTCAACTGGCGTGATTTCGAATCCCCGGTTGTGCGTGACAAGGAGTAGGGTCGCCTCCCCAGCCTCGTGGGGTTTCTCCGGGTCCTCCGGTTTCCTCCCACTGCTAAAGACCCCTACGCGCAAGCGAATTTTTGATATAAAATTAAACCATATGTTGGTCCCGAAATGACCTAGTTTGTGTCGAGTGGACGTTAAACCCCATCTTTCTCTCTCTCTCTCTCTCTCTCTCTCTCTCTCTCTCAAAAGCAAAATATTTTAGGCACGGTATTTGGAGTGCGAAGTCTAATGGCTGACAACTGAGGTTTTCATCAATTCTTGTCCACGAGGCGGAAGTTAATTACTATTAACAATTGCACATCACGATTTTTCTTTTGTATTTATTTATATAGACCCAACTTATGTAAATATCATACGTATGCAACTTATTAACCAGCATGTCGTGTATTATAGTTATGATGAGTTAGATTAAAGATCCCCACTTACTGCTCAAATACACCCACTTATAAACATCTCATCTTATCTGATGATTACCACGAGAATGATGTTTTCACGATCGCGGAAAACCACCACAGATCAATTTTCTCAAACACACACAAAAAAAAATAGAATTCGACGTTTATTGGCGCAGATACGTGACATTTAAAACGCTAGACTCCGTACATCGCCAGCAGTTTAGTGGAAAAAGAATACAAACGAAACAGTTTTCTTTTATTAATTACTAGATTTAATACAAATTGCGATAAATATAAAAATAAAACTGTAAGAAAGGTGGGATGAGGTATGTTTCTCTATATAAAAATGTCTATACTTTGACATCTATAACTTAAACTATTTTAACGTATCAGAAACCATCCGTGGATCACTGATCACAAAGTTGTAAAACAAGAACATAGTGCGAGCACAGTATTAATGCGTAAAATGTGACTCGCCATCAGTCGCATAATTACAATACCAAGATCTGTTCCTCAATAAATATGAAGTAAAACACGCATCAAAATAAGAAAAAAATCAATGATTACTAATTAGGTGATGATAGACTAATGAAAATAAATGTTTATCACTTGACAGTACCGGTATACATGTATCGGAATATTACTTCTTCGTCTAACTTAACAGAAACCACTCATTTTAATGTCAATACTCATTTAAATCTGAATGTCACATTAATTCCATGATGTATTGATATATTGTTTTACACCGATTGTTTATAAACATTTTTTTTTTTGCTTCCAAGAGCTGCAACGTTGGCAATGTGCTTGATGTTCGCGTACCTTGACATCGCCAACATGCATTAAGGTCAACTAACGCATCCAGTGTGTAAGACATTTAGTGCTTTGGTAATTTGAAATTGTGAAGATGGCCGAGTTTATGCAAATCAACAGGCATTACATCGGTTTACATAAACCGTATAATTCTACCAACCACCACACCACGTATATTATGCTGACAATGGACAATTAACATTAACGGCACATACTTTGTGCGATCCACATCGACATTGACTTCAATTTGTGCGATCCATGTTCTTCGTCATCGACACTAGCTTTAAATTGTTGAATATATCCATATTGCACAAGAATATAATTGTTTACTTTTGGGTCTACGCGATGAATTACCACACACAACATTTACGGTTGGGGTTCATGTAGCTATCTACCGGACAGCTGAATGCTTTGGCAAAATCTTTAGAATTCTGAAGTGAACCAATTACCCTACAGATAAAATTAAAACAACAATTATTGATATTTTGAAGAAATATATGCCTTTTAAAGAACAATATTGCTACCAGCCATTATCACATATGTCATAGATCTGGTTAAACACGTTCTAAATATAAATATAACACAGATCATTGCTACTATAGATATGCAACGAAGATTTGAAGAAACGGAAGTGACGCAAAAAAATGGAAAACAAGAGTTATTGTTCTATACAACTTACAGTGATAATGGCTGACATCAATATTGTCCATTACAACAAATTGCCCTGATTTTGCCGTTTCGCTAATGGATTTGTGTATATAATTACACCGGGGGATCTAGTACTACTTTATACAGAAACATTGTTTATATTTGATAAATTTACAACAATAACTCTTGTGATCAAGTTTGTTCAGTAACACTAATGCCCCAACAGGCCCCCTTTTGCACTTGACATGCAGTTTCCAAATGAAATATATAGCACAGAAAGAATACTAAGATATAAAAAATGTTTCCCAAAGCTGAAGATTGTTAAAGGACAATATTGGTGCCAGTCATTATCACTTATGGGATAGAGCTTGTTAAACACATTCCAAATATAATTTTAACATAGAGATCATTGCTACGATAGCTGAGTAATACAGGTTTCCTGAGTCGGAAGTGACGAACGCCAAAGGAAAACACGAGTCATCTCTCTATATAACTGACTGATGTGACGAGTGATAACGGATATACGGGCGAATTTCTGCTCACTAATAATTCATTCGAAGACCAAAAGTATTTGCATGAGATTGTGACAATTCACAAAAAGAAATGACTGCCACTAGATAAGTGAACACGAAAGAAAAACAGAAAAAGTCCGTGCATTACCATGTTTTTATAAGATATAGAATGAATATAAACAAGGGAAGGTACAGACTATTTCTATTTTTCTCGTGTTCTCTTATCTAATGACATTCAGTTACTTTATTGAATTGTCAGGTATCCTCTTACAGTCCCATATATCAACGTTTGGTCTTCGAAGGAATTATTAGTGAGCAGAAATTCGGCCATATATCCGTTATCACTCGTCACATCAGTCAGTTATATAGAGGGATGACTCGTGTTTTCCTTTGGCGTTCGTCACTTCCGACTCAGGAAACCTGTATTACTCAGCTATCGTAGCAATGATCTCTGTGTTAAAATTATATTTGGAATGTGTTTAACCAGCTCTATCACATATGTGATAATGACTGGCACCAATATTGTCCTTTAACGCTGCAACATGGTTTAATCCACAAAACTTGCGGTACAGGATAAATACCCACCGATATCGCCCAGGGCTGTGAACACCTGTTAGTATCTGGTTAATGAAACCTTGTTTTCTCATGTTCGTACACCATATCTAATAAAATAATGAAGATATTAGTATGTCTAGAATTGAAATGGGGTTTAACATCCTACTCAATCCGGGCTATACGCCGTACAGTGCGCTATGAGAACAGTTTTCCCCGGACAGCGGTACAATAGATTACTATTCTTTTTAATTCCAACTGTTACGGTTTCTTTTATGTACACGCCAGCGTGTACAAGGATCTCGGTTTTTTGTCCACTCCGAACGACTAGGCACTGTTTCTTGTCAGGCCTCTATCCTGCACCACTGACAAGGGGAAACCACATAGGAAAACCCGGAGGAAATTTCTCTGCTGGAATCGAACTCCCAATATTTCTAGAATCATAAACATAGTCAACATTGGTGTAAAAGAAAGAAATATCCCGATGAAATTTCTCTGCTGGAATTGAACTCCCAATATTTCTAGAATCATGAACATAGTCAACAATGGAGTAAAAGGAAGATATATTAAAAAAAAAAAATAATTTTATAGAAAAATTCCAAATTAGGACTGATAATTATAATCGATCTTATAATTTACTTGTGCGAAATTAATAAAGAAGAGTTGGTCGTTGTTATATTTCAAACCAGGAAGTTGTGCTTCGTCGCCATATTTTTCAACAGCTCTTCTATATGCCTGAAATTATATTTCATAAAATTTAACCATAAAACAAAATAAAGGACTTAAAAATATTCCTTAGACAATAGTCTAATCGTTTAAGTTAAAAAGTAGTTTAGATGTCTTTTTGGTGTTCTCAGTGTTAATGGTTAGAAACAAAATATAGCTCAAAAACAATAAAAAAGTGCACAGAGAAAAAATATGTCACTAAAAAGGTAAACATAATGGTTGTAGATATTGCCATTTATCAACGTTCTTGTGACTGACAAGGTCCCAGAGCCACAGATTAACAATGCATTAAAAGAGATTAAGCTAGAGAACGGGGGTGGGGTATTCTGGTGGCACAGTACTGAAGGGGACTTATGGGTGAGCACTGTGTTGGTCAGAAAAACCGATACGATACTAATGAGTGGGATGATTTACCCAATACTACCCAATGCTACCCAATACCACCTCAATATCACCACATACTTCCCAATACTACAACATAATGATGCAAAATAGAGATACCAATATGATTGTTTTCAAAAATAGAGAGTTGTATCGCGGGAAATGTGCTTCAAATGCGATACCGATGTCTGGCTATCCCATTTGCCCCCCTATACCACCCAAAATAAGCCAATATTAACCCAATACTACCAAATACTACCCAATATGGTCAAATAACAACTAATATTTCATATAACAACACATTAGTATAATTACTGCAACGAATATTCGATATTTTGCAGAAAATTGAAATGTTTACCTAGTTATCTCCTTTTATAACCGCTAAATAGATTTTAGATTGTTACTCAGATTAATCACCCTTTTGGCTTTGCAGCTGCTTTCCAAGACGACAAAACAAGTAACCATATACCACATTTTATTCCTAGAATGACCCATCTCTCTCTCTCTCTATCTCTCTCTCTCTCTCTCTCTATCTATCTCTCTCTCACCGCTTGATTGTGACAAGGCGTGGGGTCATCTGTCAAACAAGGTGGGTTTTCTCTGGTAGCCCGATTTCGTCTCACTATTAAACGCGCAAGCGAGTAAATGAAATAATACTGAACTATATGTTAGTCCCGAAATTACCTAGTTAGTGTCGATTGTTTGTGTTTATCTCAAAATTAATGCTTTAACAAAACAAATTACATAATGTTTATATTCATTTTTTTCATATCAACTATGAAGTTATTTACTTACTGCACAATAATTTATTTTAAAATTAACGAATTTTCAGATGTTTCTTTCAAGTGTGTTATGCTCGACGCGACACTTCTCGGTTCATCAAAACTATCATTTGCGGCCTGTTACAGCTCTGTCCTGTTGGTTTCTTAGATAATATAAATAAACCAGAACTTGATTACCCAATCAACAATCTTAACCCCGTTGATTAATTGTTAGGTTAGGTGGAATCGTCATTTCGATAACGAGAGAGAGAGAGAGAGAGAGAGAGAGAGAGAGGGGGGGGGGGTAACGCCCATTCGACACAAACTAGGGCATTTCGGGTCTATAATTCAATAATTCGGTTGTGCGTTTAGATGCCTTTGCCGTGGTCGGAAATTGTAGACCGTGTCTATTCATTTAGGTAGTAATGAAATCAACACGACATCGTCACATGTGGATATATACCGTAGAATAATTAGAATTTGTTCAATATGGACAATATTAGAAGAATTTGTGAACTTTTGACAAGAGGAAAGGAAACGCGTTAATAAGTCATTGAAAGATAAATTCATATGCTGTCCTGATATAATATACCCAAATGATGTTTTACAGGACCACGTGAAGAAATTATATATATATTATTTTATGTTATGTTATATATTTATAAGCTTTTAACGTGTAATATTGGATGAATAAACTATAGCGGGGGCATCTATAACAATTTGTTTTCCTTATTTTCACTTCGTCGTCTTGGAAACAAACTGCAAAGCCCAACAAGATGATTAATCTATTTATCGGTTGTAAAGGGAGATAACTGCGTAAATATTTCAACTTTCTGCAAATTATCGAATATTCGTTGCAATTATTATACTGATGTGTTGCTAATTGACGATATTAGGTTTGTATTTTATAATATTGGGTAGTATTCAATAAGTATTTGGTAGTATTGGGTTATTATTGGCTTGATTTGGGTGATATAGGGAGGCAGATGGAACAGCCAGACATCGGTAATCACATTTGAAGTATATTTCCCACGATAATTCTCGCTATTTTTGAATAAAATCAAGTAATATGCTCATTTTACACCATCATGTGTAGTATTGGGTAGTATGTGGTGATATTACAGTGGTATTCGGGTGGTATTGGGTGGTATTGGGTAGTATTGGGTGAATCGTCCCGCCGCCATATTATTATATAATACGCACAAGTTCGAACATGTGAGTTTCACATTTATACTATAATTCATGTATTATGTTTACCCTATAACTTTGTTTTAATCCGCCATTATCAGCTATATTTTCACCTTGTGTATTGTTACCATTTATCTGAAAGAAAAAGATCGATACGATAATTTGTTGCCTGGTATTGAAGTCTACGAAATAGGTAATATTTTCATAAATTTAAATTTTAAAAATAAATAAGAATAACTTACATTCATACCAGTTTCTTTAATAATATAATTCGAATATTGGTCTACTATACATTTTGTTTTCTCTTTAAATCTACCAATGACGTCATCAGTCCACCATTGTAATAAATTACCATCTTTATCATACTGTCGACCTTAACATAATTATAATATATGTATTTACTTTAGTTTAAATATAGCTCTCTGTACTTCTAGTCGACATGCCAAATGCAATTTGTAGGTATAACAAATTATACAATCACATGCCTAACCAGATACAGCAAGACAACTATTCGTAGTAGATTTCAACCCTGCGCTAAAGTAGTCGATGTTCATCATTTTTTTAAAAAAAGAATGATAAATGATACCGTTTGGTTTCGAAATTCTACACTGCAGAAACGCTACCTTGGCTAGTGACTGCAACTATACGGACACAGGGCACCATTATTATTTCTACGCTGGTTACGAATATAGCGCAAACGTTATCAGCAGTCTTTCTTTCCCTCCACTTTTCCTCCTTTTGCATGTGATTTTTGTTGACATTCTGGCGAACAATCTAAGAACATACATTTTGTTCTAGGTTTAGGTGAATATTAAGGAATTTGTGACGGAAGGATTAAATAGGTAAGAGGTTGGTTACGTTGAAATGTTTACTAGTATATATGCCACTTCCAAGATTTCCATGGTGAACCTTATACATGCTTTTGAGCAAGAGCTTGCCACATGTACAACTCAAAGAAAATTTTATGGACGGTCAAAGAGACGAGAATTTTAATACATTAGAGCAGTGGTTCTCAACCTTTTTTTGCCAACGGCACACCTTGGAACACATGAAAAAATAGCGGCACACCTGGCTAAATATATATGAAAAATATTTGAATTTTGAAAAATAAAAACATGGCAAGTCATAGACGGCATATAACCGTAGACACAGACTAGTCATAGACACATAGAATGACTCAAACTAAATAAAGAATTCATCAGTAGACACCAGTGAATACTAAATTGGGATCGCGTGGTTTTTCGCATAATGGATGTGTTTAATGGCCAAAGGGTTTCATGGAGATCACAGAATCTGTCCTTTCTTAGTAAATGTCTCTGAAACCTCTTTATTCCGTATGTTATCAACTTGTCTTGGTATTGTTCTTATCTTGATGTATAGTTGGTATCATAAAAGACTTGTATGAGATTTTTTATTATGCGTTCCAATATAATAAGATAATGATGCAGTTAATGAATACAGATGTATTTTATGGCACCTCTGCATCAACCGGGATATACTAATCTATCTATACTAATATTTGTGACTGTCGTTTGTCTGTCTGTTTGTCTGTCTGTCTGTTCGGGGTTGGCGGCTACACTAAGTCTGCCCCAAGTCTGAAATTTGGGGTATAGGGGTCGCTCTGACCGGGGAGTAACATAGGCTAGGTGGCGTTAGTCTATCACTTCCGGTTTCGGGGTTATGACCCCCGAGCGAAGCCGGGCAGTTCGGGGTTGGCGGCTACACTAGGTCTGCTCCGAGTCTGAAATTTGGGGTATAGGGGTAGCTCGGACCGGGGAGTAACATAGGCCAGGTGACGTTAGTCTACCACTTCCGGTTTTGGGGTTATGACCCCCGAGCGAAGCCGGGCATTCTGCTAGTACTACAATAATAATAATGCAACAAATCACTTTGGGTAATTTTGTTACGATCACGATATATCTGGTAGTGCTGATCATTTGCTAAGAGTTAAGGACAACTTACAAACTCATATATATTTTAGGTATTTTTTTACCTGAATCATCAAAACCATGAGTTATTTCATGACCTATAACAACACCGATACCACCATAATTCAAAACTCTGTGAAAACAAAATAATAAATGTAAATAGTAACGTGTAAAGAAAGTAATTGTTAAAATAGTATTATTTTAACTTTTATGAATAATGAAATTGCAATCTGGAAAGACTGTACGTGTATATAATGTGGTCTACTTTAACGATAGTTTTGGTAAATTGCATCTTAGCAATTTCGGTGCAGTTCGGAAAAAAGAATTACAACTACCTACCTTGGAAAATGTTTATGATAAAACGGAGGTTGAAGAATGCCTGCTGGGAAAACTGCAAATAACAAAACGTGGTCACCATCAGTTTAAATAAATATATGCAATTATGTGGATCAAATTGTTTTAATTAAAATGTTGATATTAAAAGCTACCTACTTATTGCATTGCGTTGTGGGCTGTAAAAAGCATTGACTGTTGCAGCATTAAGATAAGATGGTCTGTAACAGAAATAACATCACGTCATGAATATTTATAAAGAAAAAACATGTCTGTAAAATACTTTACTGGTTGATAACTAATCAAGAAATAATACAAAATATTTGCATTTTGCATTAAAATCATAATATATGTATCTCATAATTTATCCACCTCATTTTTTTTCACTCGGTAATTTGGGGAACTTTTTTTATATACATGTAGGTTGTGATATATTTGCTATACAACGTATAATATCAGGAAGCTTGACACGATTTTGTTTTGACGGAATGTTTAAATTAATTTGTTATTCCGATTCCACGAACTATTCATTAGCACTGGGTGGACATTACCAATCCAGAGCATTTATATCTCTATCACTGAACCTTCCAATGACACAAATTTGTTAAGGGCTGGGGGAGGGGTGGGGGTATGTTATCCGGTGTTGGTTTGTCCTGAAATGTTTCTTATATCCTGACAGTTGCCACAGTGTCCAAACATCCACACGGGGAATTAGTCAGTTTCGGTTTTCAATTAATTGTGGCCTTGGGTCCATTGGTAATCCGTAAAAAGCTGTCAAATACAGATTTCAATTTGATTGTCAGGTTCCAAATTACGATAGAAACGGGTTTAAAGCAGTAATGATCCCATACATGGTATAATTCCAGAAATTGCCCTTGGGCCGTTTCTTTTTATTCCAAGTGTTGTTAGTTAATTTGTTAAATTTTCACGAGACAACTTTATGAAGATTGACAAGATGAGTTTTGAATTGCTCGAATATTAGTCACAAATTTCAATTCGCTGTTTGTAACCGTTCCTTGTCTTGGTAATTATGCGACTCTTTTAAAATAATGACAGTGTTTAACGGTTAGCAATGCATAATATAAATCTGTATACATATAGTGGTATATGTATATATACTATTCAAAAAAAGTAGGGGATATTTGATTTTGGGGGCATAATACTAAAATATGCAAATGACTACGAAAAAAGTCACTATAGAACCTAACAGAAGAAACATTTCCAGTTACATGTGACGCCCAAACGCACCAATAGCTACCGCATGGAATGCAGGTGATGCTTGGGATCATCATGGGGGTCCAACCCAAGATTTGCACGACTCTGACTTTGAATGTTACAGTCATTGTGGCATTGAATTCCAGGGTGGAAACATCAGTTTAATTGTTTTAGTGACCAGAAAACAAATTTTGATATGCGTCGGCTTACCCAAAATGAAAGGTTACGTGCCCTTGGCATGCTACAGATCGGCACAACACAGGCGGTTGTGGCGCGGACGATGAATGTTTCTCAGTCTGTCATAAGCAGGCTATGGTCCAGATACCGTGATACACAATATGTACAGGACAGACCACGCTCAGGTCGACCAAGGGCGACAACTCAAGCCCAGGATCGATTTATCCGTACCTTGGCCTTGAGAAATCGTGTCATCACAGCAAATCAGATCAGCGCTCGTCTTCAAACAGACACTGGTGTGAGAGTGAGTGGCCAGACGATTCGGAATCGACTGCATAGGGGTCACCTTCGCGCCCGACGTCCTCGCGTGATCCCTTGTTTGAGAGATCATCACATTCAGGCAAGACGTCGTTGGTGTAGGGATCGTCAACACTGGGATAATCGACGCTGGAGCAATGTGATGTTTTCAGATGAGTCAAGGTTCACTGTTGATTTTTTGGACAGACGTAGGAGGGTGTGGCGTCGTCGAAACGAGCGCTTCCAAGACGTTAACGTCATCAGACATGATCGATTTGGGGGTGGTTCTGTTATGGTGTGGGGAGGCATCACTGTTGCTGGAAGAACGGCTTTACATGTTGTTGCAGGGCGTGTTACAGGCCAGTACTACCGGGACAACATCTTGGCAGTCCATGTTGTGCCGTTCGCACGACGTCATGGCCGCCGTTTCATCTTCCAGGATGACAACGCAAGATGTCACAGGGCCAGGATCGTTAAAGGTTACCTCCAACAACAGAACATCACCACATTACCTTGGCCAGCACTGAGTCCCGACCTCTCCCCCATCGAGCATGTCTGGGACATGCTTGGACAGAGGTTACGTCAACGTCAACAACGTCCTGCCAATGTCCAAGAACTTGCTGCTGCGTTGCAACATGAATGGGACAATCTGGACCAAAATGACCTTAGACGTCTCATTAGGAGTATGCCACGTCGGATCAATGCTTGTTTGGCAAACAGAGGAGGATTTACCCGTTACTGACTTGGTTGTGATGCTGTGGTAACTTTGCTGTTTGACCCCGGGTATCATTTTACCCTTATAATGGTCAGTCTGTGCCTTACTTAGTCTAACGATCATTTGGAATAAATCGATGAATGTGAACTTCATTTCATTTTGTCATTTGTTTCTTCGTCAGTTTCATTAGGTGACTTTAATAACACTTAAAAACCAAATATCCCCTACTTTTTTTGAATAGTATATATTACTGCTGTGATACGTTTCGCCCAAACAATATACTGTGAAATTACTTCTGAAAGTCACAATATTTCTTTGGACGATAATTTTGTTTCCTTTCAAATAAATATTTGTTTTCGTTGTAAAAATCTCCATAATCTTTGTTAACGATGTATTGACAGATTGAGCAATCAACACTGTACTAATTCTTGCAAGTTAATAGAACTCACAGCAGCAATTAATGAAAACACTTTTAGATCAGTCAATTAATGAAAACAACTCCCGAAAGTTTGTAAGAAAGTGTTTTAGATGTTTTCTGGTAGTGTTGGTGTACTGAATGACATCGTACAAGTTTACCAAAATGGTTACTGGAGAGTCATAAATGTTGAGCGTAAAAGCCGGGTTTTTAAAGTCATTTCGCTGTATACTGTAATACTTTAGACGTATTTTTTAAGAGAAATAAATGTCTTGTCAGAGTCCATTTTTCAAATGAAATGTTGGTCATAGATTTTCGATGCTGGTCTGTATTATATTCTCGGCCGAGAATCCAAATTTATGAATGGGTATAAACCTGCACTGTTTTATAATTATGTAGCAAATTTGGTCTCTAAATTAATGTTTCTTGGGTTATTCTTTTATTTGTATTATGGTCCCTTATGCCATTGCCTTGCTGTCGTGGAAGGTGAGTTAAAATATATTGCAATCCCCACTGAAGTGCTTAAAATATACAAAACGTGACACTTACGCGTTTCTGCTTATGGGCGTACGTAAGTTTTTTAGATTTCCTACAACCACTCGATTTTGATTAGCTTCAACGTTTTCGTAGTACTTCAAGGGATGGTAAGTTCGCTAGAATAATAATAAGAAGAATAGGGGAAATATGTATGCACAGCGATAAATCAATAAAAGATTAATTTCAATGTTATTTTAAATGTTGACAAATGGATGCATTTATTATTTTGCATATAATGCTTATTTTAACAATGGAATAGAATTGATATAATGCCACACAATATTATGTGCAGCTACATCTAACTTTTTAATTAAAAACAACAATAGAATACGATTCGGGCAGAATACAACCAATTAAAATCTCAAGAAAAAAACATGTACTAAAAGATCTACAACGAATTTTATTGATCTGTGTAAGGTTTTGTTATGTAAAGCTTAAGACTATTCTCATTCTTAGTTTGTACAGTTTCGTGACAGAAAATATTACTTTATTGTATGGTGGGCGAGCGCCCGACGACCACCAGACACTGCATGAAAATGCTTACCTGATATAATAAGTCAGGAGCAATTTATTCTGATCAGCTGCTAGACAATTCATAATTCATTACACAGCTACAGACAGCTATACGCATTGTATTATAAAATACACCAACCCAGCTAATGAAGACCGGCATGCGCCATGCAGTATACTATGAGGGAAGTTTTGCTCGAACAGTAGCCTTTCCTTCAAACTCTTTGTCAATTTTCAAATGCGAACCGTTATTTTACGTGCACGTCGACGTTTAAACAGGACCTTAGATTTCTTCCCTTTCGAAGGACTTGAGACTATTCCTGGCCAGACCCTCCGTCCTGCAACACTGACAAGGGGATACCATACCGTGATTCAGCGCATTACTATCTGAATCACCGTGGCACCCATTGTACTAAGACTGTCGCAGGGTATAAATGTAGTAAATAAAAATATTTGAGATGACTCACATTTTCATATGATAAATTCAAATAACTGTCGTCCAGAATGGAATCATAGTAACCAATTTGACTATCAATATGCTCAACCTGAAATCAAATAAGAGAAATCATTTTATCTCCGTAGTTTGTCCGCTCTATTTGCTGTGTCGGATTTTAACCACCGATACTTGCATTTTCAAAACAAAATACCAAGTAAAATACCGAATTAGGGAACAAAGAAAAAAATGTGTTCAAATACGCCACTATGCGTCTATACCTTTTCTCTGGCTAGTTTTCTGGTGGGTTCATCCATCCAATTCAGTTCATCTAACAACTCATTGAACGCTGAACGCAAATTACCAATCATATCCTGTGCCTTAAAAAGAAAACAGCGATCTGGGCCCTTATTCACGAAAACTTAAACTAAGATACAATCGAAATTTTAAGAAATACTGCAATTCGATTGGCTGAGCAGTAAAATCAATTTGCATATATCCAATGAAGTTGCAGTGTTTCTTAAAATTTCGATTGTAACTTAGTTTAAGTTTTCATGAATAAGGTCCCAGTACTCTGATTGATAGATATTGAAATAATAATACTAATCTAACGGTGTTTCTATAGTGTTGAGGTAACTCACCCTTGTTTTGGAATCTTTACCAAACACATCATCGATATATAATCTGTTAACACCTAAATAAACTGTGTCTTTAACGTATCCTACACAAGTTCTAAATCGATCTCGTGCAACATTTATTCCTGATATTACCTGAAATAATACAAACTGACAGCCTCAATAAAGTGTTGTGATCACCACTATATTCAGACTCCTATATTCAGTTTAAAGGAGCATTAGGTGAGATAAGATAAAGAGCTGACCGTTCTCCCTATAATAGTTTAAAAACAAATAGGCAACGCAAAAAGAATATGAAGAAAATTTCAGTCAAATTGCTTCACTCTGAACCGAGATATTAGCGATTTTATTTTAAGCTAGCCTCGATCGTCATTACTACCGTTGGTACGTTAATAAACAAAGTCTCGATTATCGATTTTTACGTTAAATTATCCATCACAAAACGAATTCAAATCCACGAAATACCGTAGGCTAACGATGGCATCGAAACTGATGAGAGTTGATTATTGTCTCGATAAGTTAATTAATGACTAATCAATATTTTAGATAACATTTTAACATTTAAAGCCTAAAGAAAGGCCTGCAATAGGCAGATGTGGCTTATGCATAATGAATGTTTAATGTTTCAAGAAACGTAATTTCATATATGACCGTAATCAAACTTTAAAAGAAAAATAATCACATAGTTTTAAAAGGTAATCCATGCATCGTTTTAGTATATAATTCAAAACTATATACGCCATATCATATTATTCGAAACGTTAAAACAGTGCTACTGTTTATTTAAGATTGTTTTTCGAAAAATATAAATTCTACTTTACCTTATGATAATCAACTAAAATATCTCTAAATATATTAGTTAATAGCGGGGCTCTTTCAAGAACAAGTCGAAACAATACATAGTTAGCTAAGATCCTGAAAATAAGGTTTAAAATGATGGTGTGACAAATATGGAAAAGATATTGTTCACCTGCTTTCTTTTTACCGGACACAATATTAGTTCATGGCTGGTTCACTAACCAGGGAGTTTCGAGTTCGATTCCAGATTTCGACAAAAATATTTGCAGTCTGGTTTCCAGTTAATTATCAGCTGTTCAAGACCGAGGAGTTAGACAGTAACAGCGACTAGTCGATCCAATGGTAGGAAACACCGAGGACCCGTGTTACCAATGGCATCATGTTCAAGTCGACTGACGATTGGAAATCGAACTAAAAGTAGTCCACAGGATAAAGTTTCCCTCATATGGCAGCACACTGCACGACGTATGCCCGTCTCCATTGGCTCGACTGATGTTATATTTTAATACCCCATTTCTTTAAACCTTATTATGTAACTAATCTATAAAAATAAGTTATATCATCGTTCCTTTCTCTCTTTTTGTCATCTTATAAACTTGACTCACCTTGCTGGTGTTCGTTCTAAAAGAATAAATAATTGATCGAAATACCGAGGTGCTCTGTTGATAATTATTTCATCTAGTGTTATATTAAGTTCTACTCCGTCCATCTCGAATACTTGTTTAATATATTCAAACCATTCAAACTTTAAACATAAATAATAAACATTTTTAATTATAATTTTTGTATCCTGGAGATCTTCTCATCCTAAAAAGAATCACTCTTTGAACAGTGATAAGGTAGAAATGCATTAATACTATCTTTGATAGAAATGTCAACAGAGTAATGATTATAGTCAACACAAAACTGACTGAAACCTTTTAAATACAACAAACGGCTTCTGTAGCTGTGAATGTCAATATAAAATCATGGCAAAATACCGGAAACATTTACTTTATTAAGAACTAGAAGAATGCCTGGCTTCGCTCGGGGGTCATAACCCCGAAACCGGAAGTGGTAGACTAACGCCACCTGGCCAATGTTACTCCCCGGTCCGAGCTATCCCTATACCCCAAATTTCAGACTCGGGGCAGACCTAGTGTAGCCGCCAACCCCGAACAGACAGATAGACAAACAAACAGACAAACGACAGTCACAAATATTGGTATAGATAGATAGATTGGGGTTAGAATTTGTAACAATTAAAAACGACCAGTCCGACACTCTATTGTTTTAGGCAAAGGTAAATACTACTACTACTACTACTACCATGGTGCTTTAACGTCTGCTTCCACTAAAGTGATATCGCAGACAAGAACTAGGAGACCGAAACTTCTTCCTGTATATTAGAATGTGATTTTGCAATCTTTCCAATGACAAATGTAAAGTGGTGAAGTATAGTTTTATAAGCATACCTTGCTATAGTTCGCAGTAAGATCTGCTATACTACTTGGATTATATAAAATTTCGTTGTCTCTCCGGTCTTCAGCTGCAACTGAAATCTAAATATCTAATGTTTAAATATAGAGAGTGGGTAATATCAAATGTTTCAATATAGTGAGTGGGTAATATCTAATGTTTAAATACATGAAGGGGGAAATATCTAATGATTAAATATAGAAAAGGGGTAATATCTATGGAAGACCAAATGGGACTATATTCATGATTCTAGTTTCTAGATTCCGGTTTGAACATTTTAGACACGAACGCAACATTCTAAACTAATGATTCTTGTTTCTACATTCTTATGTCAACATTTCATGCACAAAATCAACATTTTAAACACGTGACTTTCTACAGCAGAGCGGTGTCAACGTTATGCAGCGACCAGCCCTTTGTTCGGACGTAAACCCGATTGAACATCTTTGGGATGAAATTCAGAGGAGACTCAATAACGTTGTACCAAGATCAAACACAGCTGATGGATTGCGCCGGGCTTTTCTGAGAGTGTGATTCCACTTCCAGGTGCCAATGGCATTCATCAATCGTCTGGTCCACTCCATGTACAGACGCTGCGCTGCTGTTATTGACACATGCGGTGGACACACCAGATACTGATGTATAGACTGTGTACAGACTCTAAACGTTCTCGTAATGTCTTGGAATTGTGCTGAATTAATCACTAATGTGTCAGCATACTGTTGATAAAAAAATGCTTTGATTCATTTAGTAAGTCGTTTTCTAGAATGCCTCTCTGGTTTTGAAATCGTACTGACGTTTTTTGGGTTGTTTTTTTTTTGTTTTTTGGGGTTTTTTGGGTTTTTTTTGCTGTTTAGTATAGAAATGTGGTAATATCTAGTTATAACTTGTACTATCAACATATTCCTGAAAGCAAACATAGACCAATTTCGTTTAGAGTCATCTCTTTGATCATGCACAAACATCCTCAGCAGACATATATTAATTCTATTAACATATGTAATCTCAGAAACGGTGTTACACAAGAGAAACAGGAATTTGCATCACTAGTGGAAAAACGTTTAAATGGACGATGGGGTTTTGACCAACCAGACATACTTCCGGTCTATGTTTGGGCAGCTACAGGATAATCTGCTCGCGTGTAGATGATACCGTGTGACACCACAGGGAATGCGTTCCACAATTAATAATTGTGGATAATATCCACATAGTACCTTTCCTAATGTTTTTTTTTCATAAAAATCGGGACATAATTTCCCGCCGTTATGGTGCCTGTAAATACGTACATTAGCTAGTTGAAATTCAAAGTCCACCATTTCTGTGAAATCATTTTTAACTGTTTTCTGATCTGCACCTAAATTTATGGACATTTCAATGGCATATTTCTCATAGGCTTGGACCATGATATCATCCCTATCTCGTAAATAATATCTTCTTCCGGGCATCCCAAATGTTGGTTGATCTATCTGAAAAATAATTGTAATTTGTAATGAAATCTATACACGTAAAAGGGCGATCCTGCATCATTAAAGGGACAATAACACTCTTGCTGACTTGAAAGCTCCAGAAAATAAATAATATCTCTATCTAAGTACCAGATGTTTAAGTGTCCTAACTGTTGTGTAAATTATCCATTACACCCTATTTTACTTGTCCAGAGGGTTCGAAAATATTTTTAAATCGAGGTTTCATTTGAAAAGGTTTACGTTAGACGTTTCAAACCATTATGTTGAATTTTTCAAAATTTTTAAATAAGGTGTGTTAAGATGAAATTTGTATCATCAATTAATTAAAAGATTCTAAAATAGTACAATTTGTTGACCAGAATAAAGATTGGGACATATTATTCAGTTACAACAAGAGTGGTATTGAGCCTTTAAGAAAAAGAAGAAACTTTAAAGAGATTTAGAATATAGTGTATCTGTACTTTGCGAAGTAATGACATACTTTCCCAGTTAAACATGGTTGAATGTGTTCGACAGTTTATTCTGTCTAGGAAACTTTGATTTGAAACAAATGCAACTAATTCAGGCGATGATAGTAATTACAAGTAGGGTGTAATTTTTATTTTTGTTCGGCTTCTAGCTATAGGAAATCAAACATCTATTAACGATGCCTATTTTAGAATATTCTAGAGCACTCGGTAATACTAGTATACTGATTAACTTTTCCACACGTGCATCCTCGGGTTACTTAGCTACAAAACAATAAAAGTATATGCAAATCTAGAGAATCAACCTTGCGAGCTGCCATAAGCAAACACTGCACTGTGAGTCAATGAAGACAATTAATGCAATTTACAAACACTAAATTAAGAGTAGTATGGCACATTCGAAGCACCTTCCAATGATGGTCTTCTCTAGACTAACATATCAGGCAATTAAAGCAGATTAAAACACCACTCACATATATACTTCTACTTGAAGAATTTTTAAAATCTATTCCAACAAATAAGTTGATGATTGGGCTTATTTTATAAGACTTTAATTTTGCCAAGATCTGAACCAAATCAAAGGTGCTTTCATTCCATGATGGTTGTAAAACTGGCCAACCACCTAATGACAGCAGACTCTCAACCAATGGCTGTATTCCTAGTTCTTCCATGGCAGCTAGAAAACGAATTGAAAATCAACTACAATATAGACAGTCTAAATATGCCTTGGGAATTTTGATTTTTTGATATATTGCTTTTCATTTAATATAAAAAGATATGATTAAATAAACTAACAAAAAGAAATAATACATGCTGAAGCTGGTTTATCTTACTTAAATTCAGACATGATTTATAGAGGTCTTTCGTCTTCTTAATGGCACTGATGTCTTCACTGGATTCCTTTTCTAAAGCATCTGAAGCATTAAGAAATAATATTATCTTACTGGGAACAAAAATACGCTGATCTAACAATCAAATTTTAGTAAGTTAATAAAATATATGCAAGTAGCATTGGTGATTGTACAAACACTGTTATAAAAATGTAAGTCCAATTATAGTCGATATTTTTTACATCAGAAGAAATGTTATTGTATTTTAAATAATCGACTAAATCAATTCCAATATGTATAAGTAAATATACATGCTTATAGCAATTATATTCAAAATTAGTTGGTTGCTGTGATGGTTGTAATGTTTGTATCAGGTTTAATCAGCTAGTCTGAGATTGCAACAGGTTAATTAGATATGTGTAGATGTTTAATGTCTGCGATAATAAAGGTGGATTTTTAAGTTTTATCGAAATGAATTCATTACAAGTGAAATCACTGCATTTCAAATTCCGATTGCGGTATGTCAATTACATAATTATGTGCATGCGGACGTCGTTGAACTTAAATTATTGGCTATGATAATGAAAATTTGTTTACGTTTTATCAAAATATATCCCCCTAGAAATACAGTTAATGCGTTTCAAAGCTTGTGACGGATGGATTGAAGGTCTCAAATTAAATGTCCCCAAGGTGTAGCTAGACTATTAAAGTCTTACTTTTCAATATGACTTCAACCTCATCTCTTAAAATAGTAAACTGATTGACGCTTGAACGGTCAGCAGGGATGACTGTTGATTTTAACCACGCCCCGCAAGCAAACTGATAAAAATCGTCACATGGATCCACGCTGGAGTTGATGTGGTCCATGATACGAGATGCTGAAAATAGGAAAAATAATTATAAATAATATCATTCATGGTTCTTCAATTTTTCTCACAGAACTGTGTTTTTCCATTAGTTTTAAAAGTTACAGAATTCTTATGACAAGAAAAAATTTAATACAAGATTCAGTGTCATGGCCATTTTGAAAATCTGTGGAGTTTCAAAAAAAAAACAACCAGAGAATTTCTATAAATAATTCATACTAAAGTTAAATCTTGTGGCAAACCGGAGAAAAAAGTACAGACTACTGATGCACATTTATGAATATTAACACGACTCGCCTTTGTGGCTAGTATACAATGCCAGCAAGTTGAAACAAGCAATCTAAAACAAATATTATGTATAACAAATATGTTACTCTCACTTTCGATAGGGTTCTGGACAACTAACCCGAAATCCCTTCAAAAAACGATCTCAGAAAGTCAATTTGTAGAGTGATTGCTATCATTTCATCCGACCTTTACGGCAGACGCGTATAATCATAAATCAATCACCGTGTTACATGTACTTACATGCCCGTATACACTCGGCGCTCATACAAATTGTGTCTGCAACAGAAAGTTAATATTTTTATAATAAAACAAAACAATTTTTAAAAGGTTTTTTTAGTAACGTTTAAATTTAGCAATCTGTCCACAAGTAAATAATTTGCTGACCACCGCGAAAATGATTATAAAAAATGCAACCACTTTTACGGATAGTTAGATTTATGACAAAGCGATTTTAACAGTGTGAGGATCATAGTTTCTTTCTTAATGGAAAAGTGCATCAAACTGAATTAAAGTGTTTTTACCTTTTCTTGATGACAAAATAATCAAGGCGATGATAACAGCTAGAACTGTTAATGAAACAATTCCACCAAATACAATTAACCATATTTCAAGCTTTGTTCTCCTCTTCCAACATCGTCTATTTCAAAAAACCGAATAAAAAGAAATGATCACATTACCTACTCACGGTTAGACTTAATAGCTGTTCTTTTTATAAACTGTGACGTGCATAAAACCATCAAAATCAATTACTATGGTTATAGTGAAATCAAGATAACAGTGAGTCTGAAAGACCTACGGGGAGGTTGGAGGGGGTGTCTAGCTCTTTAACGCGTGTGCATGAAATCATAAGGTCTGTCATTGAGTCAAGCGGCGTGGTTTCGATTCCCCGGTTGTAAGTCACAGTGACAAGGAATAGGGTCTAGTGTCCAACCTCGTGGGTTTTTCTCCGGGTCATCCGGTTTCCTCCCACTGCTTAAAAAAAGCAAATACCCACAGGCAAATTATTGAAATAAAATTTAACTATTTGTTAGTTCCAAAATGACCTAGTTGGTGTCGAGTGGACGCTAAAAAAATCGGATCATCCTGAGGACATCTTATGTCATCTTATGATCGCCTGTGAAGTTTTTCAGGCTCCGGCAGCATCTTCGTGAGCGCTGGCAACATTTTTGGCATTTCAAAAAAATTCCGAAAGACTTGGCGAAGTTTCATTTTCGTGTTGAATTTGTGAGCGCATTGCGAAGACCTCACGTAGTCGTGTTACTTTAAATTAATCGGGCAGATTCTTTACATACAATCAGGGGACCATGATCCTGGAAGTTACGGTCTGATATGCGTGAATATCGAAAGGCACCTTCATTGCTGGGTTATAAATGCGCGTTGTCGTACACCGAGTTTGAAGTTTCTACCTCCATTAGAGTTAGGCTCCTGTGTGGCGGACAAACAGTGACATAAACAGCCACTTAAAGGGGCTATCCCGATTTCAAAAGAGTTTCAAAAATAAAAGTCGGAGTACGTATGAAATTTAAGCGCCAAAATGTAGAGGAATGGTGTATTTACCTTCTCTCAAAATTCCAGCTCAAAATATTGAGTCGTTTGGACTGGAACCTCAAAACTGCTTACCCGGGCACGTAACCCTTTTAAGATTTCGGGTCAGTATTTTCGTTGGGTGACCTGATCATCGATTCCCGTTCCTTGAGAGGTCTATATAGCGAATGACCCATGTGCTCTACTTGATAACGAAGGGTAAATTTCACCTACACATTATTATTATAAAATAAAAGTCTAGTTTTATGCATACACCACATAATACAGCTTGGGACACCGGTCTCCATTTCCAGATGAAGACTGACTGGTTTAAGTTGTTTGAAAAAGTATCAAAAATATTGAGTTAGTTGCTCGTCCCTTAGCTAGAGGAATTTAAGGGATTTTAACACAAAATTAAGCAGTTTTATTCTCCAAAACATATCGGGATTAGCCCTTTAACCAAAGCTGCAAATGTTCATCACCGAATTCATTCAGTTAGAAGCAGGGTTGTTGGGTTCCCCAGTGTGTGACGGGCGTACGTATTTTCATAAAAAGCTGTATTCTTCAAAAGGCGATGGACATTACGTGTTGATAATATCCACTGGTGTATTAGCACGGTCCGTTAACCGCGAAAATTGTTATTGCAAATGAAATGGGATTTTATAATTCTCTTGCACAGAACTTCCTTGCATATTGACTTTAAAGGGACAATAACACTATTCCTGGCTTGACAGCTCCAGAAAATAAAAAATAGCCTTATTCTAAGTACTAGATGTGTTAGTGTCCTACCTGTTGCGTAAATTATCCATTAAATCCTATTTTACTTGTCCAAAGGGTTCAAAAATATTTGAAAAGCTTTACGTCAGGCTTTTCAAATCATTTAGTTGAATTTTTCCAATTTTTTAAATTAGGTGTGTTAAGATGAAATTTGTATCATCAATTAATTGGAATATTGCAAAATAGTACAATTTGTTGACCAGAATAAAGATCGGGACATATTATTCAGTTACAGCAAGAGTGGTATTGAGCCTTTAAAAGAGGGGTTGTATGATTAATCTAATTTGATTTAAATTAGTCTAAATATGAAACTAAAACTTTACGTCTAGACCAACGTTAGAAATTAAGAAGACTAGAAGTTATTTAATATTGCAGATTAGCACCATTATAGATTTTATTTGAGAGTGAGATAAATTTATTGTTCTCGTGACTCACAGAAACACACTGAAAATATACATCAGTTCTAAATTAAAAACATTATTTTCTTTCAGATATGTCTATCTGTATCATCTTGATATTATCTTGCTATGCTTCGTTAGCTCATGTGGTGCAGAAAAGTAGGACGTTAAAAGTAGTACTATACAGTGCTTTGCGTCGCTGGTTAGATGTGGAAAGCCAATAAGCCAAAAACTCCCCACATAAGATCACCATACTTAAAGATACATTATGTAAGATTTAGATCAAGAGCTAGCCATTCTTGCTACAATAGTTCGAAAATAGATAATGTAAAATGAATAATTTGAAAATTTCATTCAAATTACTCTATTGCGAGCGAAGATATTAGCCTTTGAAGGTTTGACGAGACGTGTGCAACAATTTGAACCACCGTACTGGTTGTTAGAAGCTAAGTCTCGCTCCTTCATTTTTAGCTTAAATTAAAATATTTCTGAACTGTTCTAATCTATTTAATATCGGGAAATTCCGATGCCATCGAGAGTTGATTATGGCCTGGATAAGTTAATTAATGTCTAATTAATAATTTAGAAAACATTTCATGACTAAAGAAAGACCTGCAATAGGCAGATTTAGCTCTTGCATAATATATGTTTAAAATTAACATGTCTTTCTCTCTACCCCTAACTCGCAGATGCAGTTCATTGACGGAACACGCTACATCATATGGCTCTCCTACAAATCAATGAGTTTATTCACAATCCATATGGTATCTCTTGAACTTCAACGGTCTCTCCCAAAATAATCTACATGGTCTATGCTCTCTAAGAATATATATGGTGTCTGAAGTCTATCAGTCTTACAACATTGGCAGTGTCCTTGAGATAGTCCTGTCAAATTTTTAATTGGACAAATATTACGTAATTAATTAAGATAATTGGTTACTAAGCCTAATGACCTCAAGAACAACCCTTATATGGACAGTAGAAACTTTCCACCATGGGAGTTCAGACGTGAATCCAGAATTAAATGTGTATGAAATTATAAGTGTTTTTTATAAATAAATCTATCACTCATCTAATTTGAGTGCGTGAGATATGACTTCCCTACAAAATGAAACCAATAATTAGTCAAAGCCATAGTTAATATAATGCTATTATTAAAATTTAAAGAGCAAAAATTCTACGAATCTTACTACATAAACCCCATTTCATTGATTCATTATATTTTACTTTAAAAAAATATTTTGGACAGGTAAATAGTAATCTTTCGTATTGGACCTAATATTTTGATATACGTATTTCATTTCATGGGCCCGGTTGGTGCAGAAGAGAGTGGACGTTAAACCCCATTTTGATTCATTCAGTAGATTTTACTATACATTTCATATTTGACAGGCAAATAGAAATCTCTGGTATTGAAATACCATTTGGTATATTAAAAACAACACACATATGCGATAACTGCATATTTCATTTTACACGCGTTTTGCTATCCACGAGCGTATATAGACTTTATGACATTTACGTGTCTCGGTGACAAGTGCATATCGAGAGTTCTTATTCTTATATCGATATCCCGGAGTTGCACAGGACTAATTTAACACATCGGCTCGTTTGCGTATACATTAGAGTTTAATAACAGAGTCTTCTTACCTTATACGATTATTGTTCCGTTTTATATGAAGATGTCTATCATTTACATCATTGATGCATTTCTCGCACTGTTCTTCAATAAACACATTATCTGCCATCGATATTTTTATTTGTCCACTTTCAGTACCTAATTCCAATGAAAAAACAAACTTACCAAGGTCGTATTAACTAGTCAAAACAAGTTATAAAAGCATAACAACCTTACACATATCAATTTCTTTATTTGTTAACGCGTTTGTTAAGCTTGCTAAATGATCTATTTGCATTGAAATGACCTTTAACAATAGATATACGATTAAGTGGTTGAATTGTACATAAATATATGTCAATTTCTTAAGAAAACCCACAAGAATGATACAGGCAGTGTCTTGTATAAAACAGTCAACAGGTCATATCAAACTGTTCATTATGTGCTATACAACACTGTCAAGAATGGACAATCGAGATATTTATCATTCAACCATAAACGTAAACGATTATTATTGCTTAACGAATATGCCCTTAGAAATTCACTCTTAGTTTCGCGCCAGTCATTGACTGTCATCTAAATAAAAATAACTCGACCATTGTGGTGGGAATTGTGACACTCTGATTTATTATTATATTGACATTCGGGATTTTATTTTGTAAGGCGTATAATTTCAGCTCAATCAAAACGTTTACCTCAATTAATAATCAGACGCTAGAAAACCTATGTTTTTTGGAGTCTGCATACATTTATAGATTATTGCAGAGTCTGCATCGTTGCGAGTGGGTTTGGGTGGAGGCGGGAATACTTAGCATCGTCCATCTATATATTTTTGCATTCCAGGAACAGAAAACAATGGGTTGAAATTAGATAGAAGTTTCTCGGCTGGTCTCTTTACTGCAAAATCGTTTATACTCCACACCGAAGCTAAAAATTTCGCTGATAAATTGATAAAGAAATAATTTTTGATAAATGTGATTTGATTATACCTGTATATTTGATTTATTCGAGGCTCTTAAAATGTAAGACGAATCTGCTCATGTTTTAAGTTTCATTTCGGCAGAGAACTTTCTGGTGGGGGATGGAGGGGGGTGGGGTAGGCCTGTTTCGATAATGAGCATTTTCTACATAGGTTAAAGGGACAATAACACTCTTGCTGGCTTGAAAGCTCCAGAAAATAAATAATATCTCTATCTAAGTACTAGATGCTTAAGTGTCCTACCTGTTGTGTAAATTATCCATTACATCCTATTTTACTTGTCCAGAGGGTTCGAAAATATTTTTAAATCGAAGTTTCATTTGAAAAGATTTACGTTAGACGTTTCAAACCATTATGTTGAATTTTTCAAAATTCTTAAATAAGGTGTGTTAAGATGAAATTTGTATCATCAATTAATTGAAATATTCTAAAATAGTACAATTTGTTGACCAGAATAAAGATTGGGACATATTATTCAGTTACAACAAGAGTGGTATTGAGCCTTTAAGTAGAGAGATGAACAATTTAAAAAAAAAGATAAATGTGCAAGAAATGAATCAGTGCCATCTATATAATTTGAGAGGGGGCATCATCCTACGTGATTTAAATTAGAAGAACGCTTTAATCGTATATGATGCAATAGAGGGGAACTCCAATTCATTTTCGAATAAAGGCTTATTTTGATGATGAAAACAGATTGTCTGGGGCCTGTTTCACGAAATTTTAACTAAGATAAAATCCAAATTTTAGTAATTTGATTGGATAATATTAGACTGATTGTAGTGTTTAGCCAATCAAAATTGAAGTATCTACTAAAATTTGGATTTTATCTTTAGTTAAGATTTCGAGAAACAGGGCCCTGGGTCCTTATTCACGAAAACTTAAACTAAGATAAAATCGAAATATTAAGAAATACTGCAACTTCATTGGATATATGCAAATTGATTTTACTGGTCAGCCAATCGAATTGCAGTATTTCTTAAAATTTCGATTTTATCTTAGTTTAAGTTTTCGTGAATAAGGGCCCAGGCCAATATCATACGTGTTGGCTTGATTAAAAGAATCACTGTTTTATGTGCCATGTTTTGTAAATTGAAGAAGCAGAGATAAGGGGAGCATAGGTCCTATCGATTTTTTGAAGCTCTATAGGTCTACTAACCACTAGGCCTAATTGTAAAATAAATTGCAAAAATGAATATTAAAAGTTTTAATTACATCACCATGATCCATTAACAGATCCATCGAGTACAAAAAAGTACATTATATAACAGCTTTGAATCGTGATGTATAAACAGATGCCATTTAGGCCTACGAATATTTTTGTTCCCCGAATTAACAGCACACACCCGGGCCATCCCAAAGCTTAATGCGCCTAACCAGATTAAATCGAAATTATATTCAATTAATTTGAATTCAGATTATATTCGTTTTTATCTGATCCAACAGTGTAAAATGGTTTAACCGGTTAGTCCACATAAAATCCTCCTGTGGATGCGGGTGATCGTCCACTTCCCAACTACGACTTTAAATCTTCGAAACAGTCGCATTTGAAAAAAAAAAAAAATGGAGATGCGGTGGATCAGAAATTTCCCCAGTATTTTGCAGCGTCTTTCCTCTTGTCACTGGTACAGGACGGGGCGGCCTGCAAGAAAGGCATCTAGTCGCCCGGATGGGACGAAAAACAAAGTTCTCGTATACACGGTGGTGGGCGTGTAAACTAAAAGAACTCTTTACAGATCGAATTCGATATATAAGAATTGTCCGTTTTAGCGTCGCTATCCGGGCAAAATTCATTATCACAGTCGGCGCAGAAAAGTAGGACGTTAAACCCCCATTTCATTTCACTTCATTTCGTCTACATTAAAATCATACCAATCCAAAATTTTAGCCAACCAGGGGAAAGTACTCTGGATATTAAACGAAAGGCGACAAAAAACTCTTCCTGAAAATTATTTATAACATTATATTTTTCTTTTTGTGTTGACGTAAAGATCAAGTTACTGTTATCAGTATTATACGATAATAGGTATGTTTCATTTTTTTTTTCTTTTTGTAAAAATCACTGATAGTCGGTACTGTTTAGAATTAACAGTGATATATTAAAAACAGATCCAAAAATCATACCCTCCAGCTCACCACCCCGTTGAACCCTCTGCCTGGACCGCTGACGGGAGACAGTAACTTTACTAAATTACTGGGTAGATAGAATACATGTAGAATCAGAAAAAAAATAGAATTATTTTGATGGAAAATTCCTTTGCCGGCAGCATACACGATACAGTGATGCAAATTGATAAATATAAATATACAAATCTGAATCATGTGAATCTTAAAACTTATAACCCACATTCACATGTATATAACCTAATACCATATTCATAATATATAGCAAGATGATCTGTGTTACCTGTGAAGTTTGGGGATCTGTCTGATGCATTCATAACACTGCCACACAGAAGGTGTTCAGCTATTTTCTGTATCTGTGGATATACACTGCAGGGTTCTGCTGCACATATAGAGTGCAGCTCTAGTAGCTCTGAAGTGTGAGAGTTTCTTTGAAGCTCTCAACAGTGGTGCAATGCATTGATGTGTCTTGTAGGTGGTTCCAGTCCAAGGTTGTTTTGTTAAAGAACGAGTTTCGAAAGAGTGATGTTTTATAGCCCGTTCAGACGCTTATTTTCATAATCGCTGGGGTTTTTAAAGGAGCTAAATCGCTAATATTTGGGACCTAGAAATTGACCCAAATGGGTCGCAACGCATATAATAATGTAATCTGATTGTATATAAACTGATTTAAATTCAATTGTTTCCATTTTGACTCTTAAATTTCAAATCAGTTATGTCCAGCGAAATACGGCTTGTGTCTCAACCCTATAGCAATTTCTAGCATCTGGTTATTCCAGTCTATTGAGCAGGCTCTCCAGTTGAATATGTCTAACCTTGTTCTTTCTGGTCACTTGTTGCAAATGACGCTAAAACGCACTATGGTACACGATTCGTGTACCAATGGTAAAATGTTTATTTTGTCTTAAATATTGGATATCAGAAGCCTGCCTTTTCCTGGTAAGATCACAACATCAATGTTGATTTGAATTGACAAATAATTCGTATTTTCAACGTGTATGACTTTGGAAGATATTGAGTTAGAGACTTAGCTACTTTAAGACAGCATCGTGTTGCGTTCACACGTACTATAAGCCAAACCAGTTTAACTATTCTGACCTCTTCGGTCGTAGGTTAGAGTTAACTACGCATGGGTAGCTTCATATTCTTTATTCGGTTCTCGCACTTCGATAACTTTGTCACTGTCTTACCTCGATATTTCCACAGGAATGTAACTTACTGCGTACTGTGCATGCTCAAAGCAAGCTGGAGCTGGGGTTTTTAGGCCAACCCATTCAGACGGCTAAGATGAACCAGTTTAAAACGCGAATCTTAATCCTGCATTTATTTCCAATTGGTATAATATTACTAATAAATTCCTGAAGGGGCAATGATGGTATTTTCCCCTCGACCACTTTATAGAATATGACAAAACGTAGCATTCGTCCGCGTTCTGTGAGCAGTGAGAGGCCTGCGTCCTTAAGCATTTTGCTGACAGAAACCTCTTTTGGCATGAATATGTAACATGGAAAATGAAGTATCAATCAATGTTACCGGTACTTAGATTTCTTAACTTGTTAAAAAAAAGCAATAAGATTTATTGATTTTGATAATCAGTTTCATTTCAGTAATCAGCAGTTGAAGATGGCAAGTGAAAATAATTTAGAACAGTTTGTACTATTGGCTAAAACAGCTAAAGGAGCTGCAGCGGTTGGTTTAATAAATCAAGTCCTAGAAGCACCAGGAATATTTGTATTTGGTGAATTGTTGGACATGCCAACCATACAAGAGGTATAAAACTACTGCAGCACCGTTTCATGACTGACAATGTTGTCTGTAATTAGGTTAAATAGCTTTTCGCATAAATTGATATTTTAATAAAAAAAAACAGTGTACCTTGGCTCATTCAATTCTCAATATAGATAAATTCAGAGAAATAAGTAAAATCATCTCAATATCGACAGTTTCTCTAATATTAATAATGTTGAACCCAAAATACATTAGTAATGTTACATTTCAGTTATTACTTAAAAACAAATCCATGTATCAGTATATTTGCCTGCTATATTGGTTACTCTTCGAGGGGTTGGATGGCCGAATAGTGTGCGCTGTATCATAAGGTCTGTCATTGAGTCAAATGGTGTGGTTTCTATTCCCCAGTTTTAAGTGACAAGGAGTAAGGTCGCCTGTCCAACCTTGTGGGTTTCCTCCCACTGCTAAACACCCCTACGCGCATGCGAATTATGTAAATAAAATTAAACCATATGTTAGTCCCGAAATGACCTAGTTTGTGTCGAGTGGACGTTAAACCCCATTTCTCTCTCTCTCTCTCTCTCTCATACCAGTACCTAGTAAATCATGTTTTTCTTTTGTTACAGTTATCCTCTGGACCACAAGAAGCTCATTATAATTTACTTAATTTATTTGCCTATGGAACTTACAAGGACTATAAAGGTAATTACCAAATTTTGGTCTTTTAACAGCATTTACACTAGGGATAGGAAATATAACGATTCGAAGTTGTGTCATATTTTTTTTTTTTAACTATGTGCTGGACCTGTGCATTACTGCCAGAGTTATGGCCCTTGATCACTTCAAAAAATCTTGTGGACGCTCTAGAGGCCAAAGTTAATATCCGATTGACTTTAAATTTTTACACAGTGTTTAAGGTCATGAGACGAAGAAGCCTATTCATTTTCAGCGATTTCCGATAATTACTGCCAGAGTTATGGCCCTTGATCACTTCAAAAAATCTTGTGGACGCTCTAGAGGCCAAAGTTAATATCCGATTGACTTTAAATTTATACACAGTGTTTAAGGTCGTGAGACGAAGAAGCCTATTGATTTTCAGCGATTTCCGATAATTACTGCCAGAGTTATGGCCCTTGATCACTTCAAAAAATCTTGTGGACGCTCTAGAGGCGAAAGTTAATATCTGATTGACTTTAAATTTATACACAGTGCTTAAGGTCATGAGACGAAGAATCCTATTGATTTTCAGCAATTTACGATAATTACTGCCAGAGTTATGGCCCTTGATCACTTTGAAAAATCTTGTGGATGCTCTAGAGTCTAAAGTTAATAGCCAATTGACTTTAAATTTATACACAGTGTTTAAGGTCATAAGACGAAGAAGTCTATTCATTTTCAGTGACTTCCGATAATTACTGCCAGAGTTATGGCCCATGATCACTTCAAAAAACCTTGTGGATGCTCTAAAGGCTAAAGTTAATATCTGATTGACTTTAAATGTATACACAGTGTTTGAGGTCACGAGGCGAGGAATCCTATTGATTTTCAAAGATTTCTGATAATTACTGCCAAAGTTATGGCCCTTGACCACTTTGAAAAATTTTGTGGACACTCTAGAGGCCAAAGTTAATATCCGATTGACTTCAGATTGATACACAGAGTTTAAGATCTTGAGACGAACAAGTATATTGATTTTCAATGAATTTTTATGACTTGGAACAGCTAAATCCATGATACAGTATTAAAAGTTTTGTATACAAAACGTTAGCATGGGGCAGAACTTTATAAAAACAAAAAAAATTCTAATGGTTTTTTGAGTTGTTGCTCTTAATCAGATTTTAGTGTATTATAAATGTTTCATTACCGAAAAAAAGTAAAAATATGCGACAACTCTTGTTGACTGCCCGGACGATTTAGCTGCTGTGGGCGTATGTTTCGTTGCCTGGCAATCTATCTTTAGTGTGGTTTTAGTTTCAGAACAAAAGGCAAGGTTGGCTTTTCTTGATTTGAACTTAATACAATGCAAGAGTTATTGTTGTTTTTATTCCTGAACTTTCAAATGCAAATTACATGGAAAACTACTTTTATGCAATAACTACAGAGAAGGTCAAGGTCTATACCATACTCCTCGCAGTGTTTCGTTTGATTAGAACTAATCTCACTAAACACTGCCAGACTCACCGCAAGTTTGTGTTCCAAATTATGACTGGTCAACAGTTCGGTCAACAACCAATACAGCATAACAAATCAATCAGGATTTACCAGAGCTGTATTATATCAAAATAAAAGTAATTAATGACAATCATGGCTACATTATGTCATAACGCACAAAATTTATTATGCTCAATTAACCAGTGCCTAGGAAAATATTGTAGAAATGCTAATTGTTTGACAAATGAGGCTATTCAAAATAGCTACAAACGTAAACATTGTATAATCACCACACGTGGAATCTGTTTATCATATGTTGGACCAAACAGCAAACAAACAATATTTTCACCATCTTTTAATGCATTTAATCGATTTAGGGAAAACCCCAGATCAAAGAAATGGATTGTTATGTTTTGTAGCCTATTGTGTTTCAACAGACTGGATAGAAATACGGCTTCCAACAGTTTTTATTCTTATTCTTGAAAAAATAATAATATTTCATGGATTTTCTTCACAAATATGGATAAATATTATTGAATACATAACAAAGATACATGGGCAGTAATTAATGTTGGTACACACAGACAAGTTTACAGAATTTATATCGGAGGGCTTATATCAAAGATTTGAGTCAAAAAAATTCCGTTCCAATAGCAAACTTCATCTGCGGCACAATAATTTACGGATGCAACCTAGATGTTTGCTCCCGATGCATCCAAGCATAACAAACACCAAGATTTTATTAACAAGTCACTCCAGTTAAGCGGTCAGTCATGAAAATTCCCTTGAGAAGAGATTTGATTGGACGGTCAAAAACCTAAGTTTTTGGTCACAGTACAGGAATGGCTAGAGAGGGATTTCTCAGGCCATTGCTACAGGAATATGGGTCTATACATATAAATGCCTTTGAGTCTTAGATTTTCTCAATCTTTCCTTCTTTCTTTTTCAGCAAATAAAGATAAACTACCAGAATTAACTAAAGCCCAGCTGACAAAACTTCGTCATTTAACTGTTGTATCACTGGCTACAAAAACCAAGGTAAGGTAATGAATTAGAGACTTAAAAAGAAAATTAATTTATTTTAATAGATATTTCCTGTTGATCAGAGTTGATCAGGTAATTGGTGCAATAATATTTTTATGTTATCCCCTTTTGTTTTTTTTCACCATGGCATTTTTACATGGTATTTTGATTCACTAGTGGGTATCAACGTTTTAGTTCTTCTTCCCATTAGTCTTTGTACAGCAGAACCTAATTCATTGTCGCGTGGTGTATTACGTAGCAATAACAAAGCTAAATATGGATCTTGTCCCACTTGGAAAGATTTTTTGGGTATATTTCACAGTTTGGACACTTTTCTCTGCCAAAACATTTGACTGGGGATACATTATGCAAGAGCCAAATCTGATAATTGCAAGTCTTTATTTAGGCTTCAGATGTCATAGAAATTATGAATTAGATCTTTATTTACACAACAAGCACAAAATAAACTCTGTAGACCCACGGATGGCTTGGATTTAAACAGGATTTCATTGATTGATTAAATTTTTAAATGGCGGAGTAAGCGAGGCTTAAGCGTTACGTTGACGTCATACTTCCGGAAATTTTAGATCGAGGCTAAATGATAGAGTGTAAGAAGCGAGGCCGCTGTTGAGTGAGGCCGCATGTCAGTCAATTTGATTGAAAGTTCGATATATACGGCCTTGATATTATGTTTAGTTGTGGTTAAAATGAGTTTGGATGTCGGTATTGTACGCTCTTTGTCACTTGCGTTTACAGAAAAATTATGGAAATTGATAAACACCGCAGCTAACATCACCCCAGTTGAATTGCAGCCCCATTGGATCACTGTTTCCTATTTGTCTGCTTCTGGAGTTACCTAGGCCTACCAGATATTAAAAGTCTTATTTTTAATTTGTAGTAAAAATAAATGTGATACAAATTGAATTGCAACCCTGTCTCAAACTGAATAGGCTAACGGTAGCACAGCCATTGGAAACGTTACTTGATAATCGAGATTATGTAGGTGGAGTTAACGCCTGTCAATCAAATGATCGGCCATTCTCGGAGACGTTGAAGAGGGAGTTGACTCCTATTTCTAGTCAAAAATTACAATGGTGATAACTTTGTTCAGAATAAAGTAATTTGACTGAAATTTTCAATATATTCTTCTTTCATCATCTATTTTTGAACTGTTATAGCAAGAATGACCAACTCTCTATTAAAATCTCCCATAATGTATCTTTAATAATAAAGTAATGTAATGTGATTTACTAACTTGCTCATCATAAGATTTGTTCAGTTAAATGACAATAGTAGCACTTCATGTATGGGTTAAAATGATCTTGGGTTGTTATTTTAAAAAGGGAATTGTTTCATTTAGATGATTCTGTTTTTTAAATTTCAGTGTATTCCATATTCTGTATTGTTGAAAGAACTTGATATCCAAAATGTCAGAGCATTAGAAGTAAGTATGACAAAAGTAAAACATTGTTTGATTACCAGTAAGGCCCAAAGTTACAATTACTATTTGATTTATTCAAAGACATAGAATTACTTTAATTTGATTTTGTGAGAATGCTAGCTGTGTTGCAAGGTGGATAACTCTTATGACCAGGGATATTAATCGGCTGTTTTTTGTCGGCTTTAGCCGATTGATCTTTAATCTAGCCGATTGGTAAAACAATGAACCGGCCACTAAGTATCACAAATCAATCTACTTTCAGCCGATTTACAATGAATTAATTATCAGGCCGATTGGTAAAACAATGAACCGGCCACTATGGTATCATAAATCAATCTACTTTCGGCCGATTACAAAGAGTTAATTATTACTCGTCGATTAAGAAACCCATCAAAGAGTCAATCATTACAATGAATACCTTCGGCTTATTTCATAAATAAACAACTTAATTGAGGTAATCATGCCGAGTACTCGAACACATCACAGAATGACACCAGGAAACGTAAACGAGATTTAACTGAAGATAGTGATGGCGGCGTTGACCTTGAACTTCAAGCATGCACTTCGTCAATGGAAATTCCAAAAGCCGGAGATCCTCCCACGTCCAATATAGGTCAATCAAATTATCGGCAATAAAAGATCATATCAATCTGACGATCATACCTGCGCAGCAAAGAAAGACGATGGCAGAACAAAGAGTTTAATTCCCAAATCTATAGAAATTATTTCAAACCGGGCGTTATGACCCAGTTTTCTCCCTTTAACATCCTGATCATGCCAGAGAAAACTGTGGGTAATCTTCACTATCAGTTTCAACATTAAATACTGCTCCAAATACCTGCTTCTATATTGTGAAATGGTGAGCTTTGTTTAAACTTTTGACTACTTTCTAGGATATAATAATAGAAGTTATTTGTGCGGATGTAATACATGGTAAATTAGATCAGAAGAATCAACAGTTAGAGGTAGATTATGCCATCGGTCGAGATATAAAACAAGAATCTATACCCGAGGTTATTAGTGTCTTACAAGACTGGTAAGTCTATTGTGACAGTATTGTGTTTTTATATCAAGTTCTGGATGACAAGACTAGTTTAACATCTTATAATACTTTTATTCTCGGCTTCTTCTAACATATTATGTACAAAACTTAAGACTCCGTAATTAACTTGTATTGAGGGAGCCATGTCCTAGCTTGGCACAAATGTGCCAACTCAAATGCGCTCTCCCTCATTCCGTCTCGTCCCGTGCCTCGGCGCACATGGCCTGCACTCTCGTGTCCTGTCCGGACCTCTCTCTCGATTCGTTTGTTATCTGGGCTTATATACCATTCCAGACAAAGGAATGTTATTAGACATCTGGCTGATGTATCATGTATCATATCAGGTTTAACATTTGCTTATCATCAAAGAAAGTTTAAATAAGACATGCCAACAAGGTAAGGTTAACTAATCGTTACATAATGACATAGACCAAGAACTCCAGGGATGTTGATAGCGAACAGGTGTCAAGTTGGCAGGAAGCGTCTATAACATCAGATAATCTGTGTTTATGTAACACTATTCACATGATATTACTAAAAAAATCGTCCATTGCTTTCAGTGTTTTACATAAGTTCAGTCACAGTGTTAGAGAAAATGACCATAATGACTTGTGTGTAAGAAGATTTTAATCTGTATTAAAGGAGGCAAATCTCTAACTCATTATCATCCATTGTCTTCAACATTGCTAACACCACTTGTTGGTCAATTTAAATCAACATTGATATTGTTATCTTACTGTGAAAAGATGGGCTTCTGATATCTAAGACAAAATGAATTTTAAAATTGGTACATGAATCTCGTGCCAGAATGCTTTTGAAAACCATGTGTAATGAAACAACACGTCACTCAGTGAACGAGGCTAAACATATCCCTTTCTGAAGAATACTATATATTACATTATTATTTGAGTTGTGACACAATTTGTGTCCCATTCAAGGTGCCAGAGAATAGAGTTTCATCTCCTTTAAAGCAGTTTGTACGGATTATATTTCTAGGTTCTGTAGTCTGAAGTTCTATAAAATAAATTCCAAAGAAACAGGAATTAAATTTTATTTTGATTTGATTGAACACATTTGTATTTCTAGGTGTGAAGGATGTGAAGCTGTATTAAAGGGAATAGAAAAACAAGTATCTAAAGCTAACACATGTAAAGACACCAATAATAAAATAAAAGCCAACACAGAACAGGAGGTAAAATATATAGAAGTTCTTAAAGATACATTATGGGAGATTAGATAAAGAGCTGGTAGTTCTCACTATAATAGTTAAAAACTAGATAATGTAATGGGAATTTGCTGAGAATTTCAATCAAATTGATCTACCCTGAAACGAGTATTTAGCGATTGAATTTTGGGCCTAGCCTCGATCATCATTACTAAAGTTGGTGCGATAAAAAACATAGTCTTGATTATCCACTTTTTTTTATTTAATCAGAAGCAGCACACCGGGTTCTAATCCAGTAAATATCGCAGGCTAGTGATGCTAACATTTCAGGCCTAAAGAAAGACCTGCAATAGGCAGATTTAGCACTTGCATAATGTATGTTCAAACTATGCATTACAAAATACTTGTTATTTTAAATAGCTTATTATCAGAAGCCTAGAATGAAAGAAAAAAATGGGGTTTAACATCCTACTTTATGGTACCAAATGGACTAATGAAGATAGACAATATACTATCAGGGTATTTTGCCCAAAAAGCAGTGCTAAGACCTACTCTTATTTCAAATTCCAACTGTCAAGGGTTTTTTTATGCCTCAGGTTTTTAATCCCATCCGAGCAACTAGACACTGTTCCCTACCATGCTGGAAAATACTTAGGAAATTTCTTGGCCAAACTTGATTATATTTGTGTGTAATTTTTATTTTTTCACCAGGTTATAAATCTTAAGAAGACGTTAAAAACAACCCACCAACAAGATTTAGAAGATCAGATGATCACAGACAGCCAACAATCAACATCTCAAGATAAACCCAGTAAAAAACCATCAAAAACTAAAGGGTAGGTATAGATGGAGAAATCATTTAAATGTGCCCAAAATCTTGACAAAACTAAAGGGTAGGTAGTTATAGCAATCATTTAAATGTGCTTAAAAAATAGTAATGTTGACAAGAAACTTTCAGTTAAGATAGAATTGTCCTCTTTACTTTTGAACAATTGAGTCTGAGCAACTGAAGCTTACCGGTGTTTATATATCCTAATAAAAAGTTTGTAAGAAGGGTATTTTATATATATAAACTAGTGATATAACACAGAAAACTCCTTTACCTACCTGCTTGTATAGGCCTTCATGAAATTTCTGCTTCAGGGTATCCTAGTGTAGCCACCTCAAGCAAATTATTGAATTAGTCCTGTAATGACCTAGTTTCTGCTGAGTGTACATTATTCCCATTTCTCTCTCTCTCACCCTAGTGTATCTCCGGGCCAGATTAAGCTTGCATGGGGCCCTTGCCTCAACAGAGAAAAGGGGACATATTCTGTTCATTGTATGTCAGTGTGGTAGATAGATAGATTTATTTGACAAAAACATGTAGATCATAATATATGATATATTTATCTATGGAGTTAATTTGGGGGCAACTTTGATAATGGGGTCCCCTGTCTCCAACCCAATTTGCCACCCCTTTAATGTAACCCTGGTTTAGCTGTTTACCCTGAACAGTCACAATTATATGAATATATAGATATAAGTGCAGTTGTGAGAACTGTGCCACACATAGCAACAAAGTATTAACCCATGGCCAAGACAAAGACAGGTTGCCACGCAACGAAACATACGCCCCCAGCAGCTAAATCGTCCGAGCAGTAAGAGCAGTGAACATATAAAACTTCAGCATATAAAAACACGTTAGGCAGACATAATAATTAATAAATTAATAAATAATATTAGTAGATCTACTACCAAATTAACTTATTTTTCGTTACATGTTTCACTTGAAAAAAATTAATTTTAGAGACATGGACTTCGGCAGTATGCCTCTAAATGTTTCAAAGAAGAAATGATCAAACGTTTAAAACCATCTGTGTCCTAGCAGCTTTCTAATAATAAAATTCATTTTCTTTTTTTTGAAAATTTTTAGATTAAGAGGAAGCAGTGCCACAAAATTATGGAAGTGAAGATATAAGAAATTGTTAAGTAAAGTCAAGGTTTTGTTCTATATGATGATGTTTATGAATAGTGCTATACAGAAACTTTATTAAAAATATAAGTGATTATCCCAAGAGAGAAGAATGGCCAAACCGGCCATATTGTTTAACTATTTAGTGCTTAATTCCAATTGCTAGTTGGTTTATTTTTCCAATAGGAAGGAAAAAAATAATCACTTAGAATTTAGTAGAAAACAGTTTGATATTTGATTGTGACCCTATCTTCCACCAATAAATACATGTATACTTTATAATATGCCTTTATTTGAAAATCAGTAATATATTTTAAAAAATAAATAAGGTTAAATGTTAACAAACTCTGGCAGAATATTCTATATGTTTCATTATTGTGTGATGCATTCCTCCCTATGATCATTATTACACAAAAAATTTAACAATAAGTTTCTATTATAGAATATCACTGAGAGATGTAAATATTGTAAAATGGTATGAAATAAAAAATACAAATATTTAACTCCACCTTACTTGTTGAAGAAAGGACAATCCAGAAAGGATATGATTTATGGGTGCCAAGGATACCATCAACAATGCAGAAGGCATATTAAATTATGTTGTGTATCCCTATGCTGGAAACGAAACATATACTCACAGTAGCTATATCTTATGAGCAGTACTCAAAAGTTGTCACATATTTTTTTTTTTTTTTTTTTAAAATGTAATATGAGCATTAACAAGTCACTAAAAACTGATCAAGAGTAGCAACCCATGAAGTAAATATAATTATCAGAAATAATTAAAATCTTTGGCTTCCAGTTCTTAGTTTACTATACAAACCATAACTTTTGCCTCTTTAAGAGTGTGCAGCACAAATATTTTCAATTTGATCAAGGGCCATAAAGTATTTGTTGGAAATTGTTGAAAATTAATAGGCTTCTTAGTCTCATGATCTGAAACACAGTCAATTGGATCATAACTTGGTTATTTGTCATTCTCATTGTCTACTCTTTTAGTAAATGTATATATTTTTTCTGTTCAGCTTGCTTAGATTTTTTACATGGAGACCAGGTGTGCTTAAATGTTTGGGATGGGAGGGGGTGTGAGACCTTTCTAAATGCAGATAGGTTTAATTGTTGTTCAGTTACCAGCATGACTTCTTGTGGGCTGAAATTCCCAACTTTGTGTCAGGTGGGATTGAAACCATGCCACTTGACTCAATGACAGACAAGGCTTAATATATTTTATGATTTATGAATCAACAAAATAGTTTGGTTATATCCTACGATTATATCTGCCATGCAAAAGGAAAATTTTCAGCCTATTCTTTAATTTGCCACTGTGCACACCAAAGTGTACAACTGTTTTCTGTACCATCCAAATTACTAAGCACACTTCTTTCCCTTATCAGCTCCATAGACAGGTCTTCAAATATCTTGAAGGTGGTTTTGACATTCATTAGATATTGAAATAATAATAATAAAGCATTATATAAACCATTATGGTTGCTTTAAGCACTTTAATTACAATGTACCTTAATGAAAGATTAATAAAAATTAACAGTGTCACCTAAATTTACATTAATGAAACATTCAATGATATACATGTAATGATAAGTATACAAAATGTCTTGGGATATCTCTAACAGGTTCTGTCAAAAGTGGGTATTAAAAAGGAAATGCATAATCTAATCAGTAACACTAACTCCAGAATATCAACATTCATATTAAAATTAAGAATTACCACAAAAATAAATTTGATCTTTAAGAAAGCTTCATCAATCTGTAACGGTAAATATATCAAGATTTGCTTAATTTTGTGATATGTATATTAAAAATATCACTATTTGTCAAAATGAAATTAAATAAACTTGATATACTCATTTTGGGTGCGTTATGCACATCCTGGGTTTACATTACCGAAAAATATTTCAAGGATAAGATTCTTTTTATGTCTGTGTTTTTTATCCTAAAACCTAATTTCCATATGATTATTTCAGACAAATCTTCCTTTTCATCATTGCTAAATGTATTTTGAAAAAAAATTGCAAAATTTGAATTTAATTAGCACTGTCTAGCTGCATAAGCATTTATACAAGCAAAAAGGTCACCAAACTCCTCGAATGAATGAATTAATAATGATACATGGATTTACTAATGGCCAATACAATTACATTGTAACATGATATCTTGAAGAAATAGAGAAACATATAATACACAAATTCCTGGTGATTACAGGAATCAAACCACAAACGTTTCAACAGGGATTGATACATGTACATCCTTTGTTAAGGAATCAGAGTCTTCTTCGTTTATGATTCAAAGCAATCTAATTCGTGAAGGTTGTGAAAACGTAAATAAACACAAAATAAGTTACATCAATTAGATTATATTTAGAAAGGTATAAAGTACTACAACATAAATTAATGGGGACTACAAGAATTCAATACAAAGATTGTAAGAGGTATGATCTGGCTTGAATTTTTCCCTGAGAGAGTATCAATCCCCGAGTTTACCACACTGTTCAACATTACTATAGTAACTTAATTGTGGATGTGGGGAAAATTCAAAGACTTGACGCAATTTGGTCCAAATATGAAATTAAAATGATATGGAAACGAGGATTAAATCACAATAATTAAAAACACAACACAGTTTATATGGAAATACAATCACTGGTTTATAAGTATAGCACGACGTTTCGACAAGTATTCTCTTATCGTTAAGAGAATACTTGTCGAAACTTCGTGCTATACTTATAAACCAGTGATTGTATTTCCATATAAACTGTGTTGTGTTTTTAATGTGTTCAATCGCTAAATGCCACTCAAGGATCACAATAATTAAATGGATGATTTCATTGATTTGTATTATGATGAATTAATGAGTGCACCGGGTGGGGTCAAATTATTTGAATTGCTTTGTGGAGAAATAATTCTTTGCACATAGTAAATTAAAACCCAACCTTATCAAAACAAAACAGTTATCTTCTTCATATGTAAATCAGCTGCCTCGTTTGATTGGCTTATTAAATTTAAGTTAGACCATCACAATAAGCTACCAAGTTATCTTAATGAAAATTAAATGTTGTACACACATAAAATCTAACCGTGTTCATAAATCCAACATTCTAAAATATTCTCTAATACTCAAATATATACAGAAGAAAAGGCACAAATAACTAGAGACAAGTAGAAAACGATGAAAATTGATGAATATTAATGACATTAAGTCAATTATAGCAGTAATGGTATGTTAAAAGGAAATATATTTACTGTCTTTTGGTCTTAGTGTAGATTCTGTCCAAAGATTTATTCATGATTTGTTCGATGTAAAAGACAAAGTTACTGTACTCTTAAAGATGGGTTCCCGCCTACAAACTGGGTGATTTAATGGTATATATGGACTAAAAACATTCAAACTAATTAATTTGTCATAATTTTGCTTCAAATCCTTCTCAAACATTGTAATTGCGAAGGAATGTCCTGCTATAAAAATTCGATCTAACCTGGTCAACTGACTTACCTCTCTTGGCAGTCAGAGGAGAATTTATTGCATACATAAGACGATGTTGTCTTTAATTGCTTACTATTTATTACAAATATCGAATCCTAATTAAATTCTCGGATTATCCACAACCCGCGTCTTTTTCTGTCATTTTTATCTCAGAAAGTGTTGTACGTCTAACTCTTCATAAAGTTTATCAACTTGTACATCAAGCGCTCAATGTTCGCGTGTGAACTACTTTCCATATATACCAAAATTACCATACTTTTATTGGAAATAACCACCCGATAAATACTTTTCTTGGAACCCATCTTTAAATATTTTCTTCATAATACCATTAATTAAATCAGTGAATTTCTCACTGTCAATTATGCAGAATGAAATTGTTCCATGACTCAATTGGAACAAGACATATTACAAAACAAACTGTCACTCAAATATCTAAAAGTAACCAGCATCAGAAGTAAGTTTTATGTTAACTACTTTGTGCGTTACCAACTTTTTATTTCTGCCTCTTGACAAGAGACAAAAGCTGACAGTTAAAAATCAAACATGTTTTTGTATTCTACATAATTCTATCTACCTGTATTGATGTAAATATAATTATTGCTTACCCAACCTGTCAATTGTCACATTTTGAGACAGTTAAATTAAGATCTATCAAAAACTTGTGAAACTGACTTGCAATTTAAAAATTCTGTCTATATACCGGTACTCAACTCATGCATTGTTACAGTTTTATTATCAACATCTACCGTAAACGTTTTTATTTTACTGACAACGGCAATCTCTCATAAAGTTGTCAATAAAACAAAATCTGATTAATACATGTATTTGTGTAATGTACATCCCTGAAATAAAAATATGATTTCAGCAAATTCTAACTAAGACAAGTGATAATGTTTATTTTGATTATGGTGTGAATATAGGTAATTTCTCCAATCTCTCTTTCTCTTCATCTGAATCAGCTCGTGCCAAAATCAAGGAGAATGCATAGCCCAGAGAAATATTGTGTATGTAGACGCCGTCTAATGGTTTAGCCTCTTGAGGTGTTGTTGATGATCGAGCTTTACTGTCTCCATATCCCTAAAATTCAACATAAAAGAATTAATAAACTAATTTATGTATACATATGGTTCTATGCTTTGTTGGCTTATGTGTCAGGTAGAAATTGAATCAGGTATTGTCAGTCCTAAGAATGGTGACTAGATCTATGCCATGATCTAACAAGTTACACATGAAATTCTGGTGTTTAGTCGATTGCCACTGTTTAATCGTGCATCCTCCATTTTGTTATCACTATTTGATGTTTATTGAAGGAAGGCAATATGTTGTCTACACTATGTTTATGATGTTATTACAAAAATGATAGTAGTTCTTGTATTTTCGGGGGCACTTGAAATATACACCATACAAGAAGTAATCAAAACTAGTAAGGTTACTAAATAAAACCATCATTACCAATTCTCCCATGGTCGGACTCGGTCCCCAGCTTATAACACTCTCATCTGCTACTACCATAATACTTCGGAAACTACAAAACATATTAACAATAATATATCCATTTATTTAGGGTCAAATCCTCAAAACGTACTCATCATGTGATCTTTATTTAATAATAAACAAAAAAGTCTACATCTTACATTACAACCCACTGTCATATCCAGCAATAGAAACATTTATTTTACTTACCCTCCGCTCACATTACGAACTTTCCATCCTGTCAAATCATGAACTAATTTAGGATACATAGCAGCTTCTCCTGAAGTTTTATTCTGGCCCCATAAATATAAAGCACCTGAAATGTGTGGAACAAAGAAATAAAATTTTGTCCAGACTAACAGTTGGTCTCAAGACTCATGGGGGGAAAATCTGTTATACTGAAATTGGTGTGGGTGACCAAATTAAATATGAAAACAATTTTCAACTCACCAACTTCACTGATGGCTAAAGTAAACTGTGAACCTGCAAACACTTGACCTGCACCACGATTTGGGCCATCGAAAAACTTAAGTAGTCTTGGTACCATTTCATCTTTTGGACCTGCATGCCCTAATCTACCATATCCTCCAAATCCCCATGTATATGCACGACTCTTTGAATCTCTGACTATCTGCAATGAAATATCAATATTCATAGCATTGTTCCACCCAGTACCCTTATGCTAGCAACAGATAAAAATCTCAGATATTTTCAGCACACATGCCAATAAGTCAGTAAAACCAACAATTTCGATACACAATAAATGGTGAAGCCTCAGCCTTTTCTCCACATTTTAGCAAAAATAATCTACTTAACAATCGTGACTTTATGATTATCATATCCACATTCTTTTTAACTCTCTGAGATGGCATCGTTCTTCCGAATAATGAATTTCACCATAATGATAATGGGGTTGAATAAAGTCATGAGCCTCATGATGAGTTATTAGACCCAGTGTCATCATTAAATCGATAAGATGATAAAGGTGGGAATTATTAGAACTGTTCTGGTATATTACGTTAAGATTATCTAGACATTTAAGAAGTTTTTAACAAGGGCAATGTAATATGTATAGTTGTGTGTTCACTTGGCATGCACGTAAAAGATCCACTGGCAGTTGGTATTCGATATAAGAGGTCGTAGCGCCTTTGTCTGGGCAAAATTTCTCTCATAGCACACATACAGTATGATGAGTGCTCGTTTTCATAAACCCAGTAAGAACGAACTGAACAGTAGGGTGTTCAAACCCCATTTCAGTTTTTTGAAACCAAGGACTAAGTGGAGTTACTCCCCCTGCACATGAAAATGGTAGAAATGACAGGATCAAGGCAGGTTACAAGCTCTATGGCAATCTGAACTTCATTAAGACAGAAAGAAAAAAATCCTTTCAAGGATTTGTGCGAAATTCTGGTACAGTACTGAGAGTATTGACATATTAATAGATGACCACTATTTCACATTACATCAACTGACATGATTTTAGAATCTGTACCGACTGTGTACTACATTGAAATCTAGAAAGACATTGTAGTAGTGTGCTATGAGGAAAATTTTGTCCTGACAGATGTGCTACAGCCTACTCTTATAACATCAAATTCCAACTGCCATGGGTTCTTTTTACTTGTACATCAATGCACACGTGACTTTGATTTTTTATCCATCTGAATGATTATACGTTGTTACTTGCCAGGCCCTCAATTTATATTGTAATGAAACTTACTGTGTGATTACATCCACAAGCTATATCACGTACTACTACATCTGTTACAGGTAAAACATGGCCTTCTCTACTCTTCTCAATAAAAACATTCACTTTCCTTGGTACTAACTCACAACGGAACGATAACTTATTACTCGTCACAAAATATTTACCATCAGAATTATGACCTGAAAACAATTATCTACATTGTAATGTATGTTTTATTTTTCATTGTACAAAAATAATGATAAACAGTACATATTCCAGGATTCAAAGAAACACAATCCTTATTCCATTTCAAGAGTTTCATCACTCTCACTTAATTGGAAGCAACTCACCATCGATCTCAATCGAGGCATTCACCAAATACACACCTACACCAAGTTTGAAAAGTTAAGCTCAATTAGGAGCAGAGTTATTGTGTCCCAAAAAGTGTGACGGACAGACATACAGGCTGATGGACCCATTTTAATATTCCCCTGCATTCCTCGAAAAAATGGGGGCCAATTAAAGATGCAGTATGTAAGAATTTGCGCTGACACTAGTACTTCTCCCTATAGTAGTGAAAAATAGATTATGAGCTGAGTTATAGCCGTTTAAAGAACAGTGTAGTCTCGATTGTCATTGCTACTGCTGTTACGGTAATAAACAGCCTTTCGATTATCCATTTTATAATTAAACTATTGACTGGCAAATCATGTTTCAATCCGCTGAAAATCAAAACCATCCAATTTATAACTTACATAAAATCTGATGCCAAAAGAAAGATCTGCATTAGCCAGATTCAGCTCTTACATAATGCATCTTTAAGATTTGAATACAAGATGCTAGTGTATACTTACCTAACTGACCATATTCGGGACAACCAAATGAAAATAAGTTACCGCGTATATCGGATATCATACTGAAATCTCCCCCACATGCTACTTTACGTATAGCTGGACCTTTACAATGTACCTGTAAAACACAACAAATTCATAAATTAGAGGGAGAGAATTGGGTGCAACACAATACATAGGATAATCAATAGTAAATTCCTAATACTGATAGTTTGCTTATCCAAATTAAACTCAATGTCAAAATTGTTGTTATTGTGTTATTAAACACATCCAAATATTGTAGAAAACAGAATTATTATTACTATATATTTATACGTCTAAGACAAATAAAAATGGCAGTGGGAAATCAATAGCAACAGACTGAATGTTTAAAGGGCCATAATGGCATAACCTGCGTTAGGATTGATCAATTTAAATAATTTTTGGCCCAATAACCCTTTAGTACTTTTGGTTTGCGTATGGTCTTAAATAAACATTAATTCTGGCATCTTGGGGCTTAAAATAGTAAAAAAAAAAAAAAAAAACATGTAATTACATTTGGATTTAGCAAAAATACTATTACAAATGTCAAATTTTGAAGATGCATAATGTAAGAGCTAAATTTGCCTATTGCAGGTCTTTATTTTGGCTTCAAATGTTATATAAACTATTATATAGACATTCATAAAACACAACAAGTCTAGATTAAACCCTCTAGAAGATTGGATGGCCGAGATTTAAACTGATTAAAAGATGGTCGACATTTAATGATTTAATTTAAAATCTGTGAATCCCAGATAAGTCTCAAATAACAAGTACCATTTATACGATAAACAATTTATGCCACATCTTGTCAAAACTATGATAACTTCACTCCGAATAATGTAATTTGAATGAAATTCTCACTATTTTCATTTGGCATCATCTATATTTAAGTAAAGGTCAGATCTTTATCTAAATCTTACATAATGCATCTTTAAGTATAAAACAGGATATTATATTTATTTTTCTTTATTTCTAAAAATAAATCTACAATAGATAGCATCTCGATAATCAGTCGTTGATTGGTTTATTTTCTGAAAATATGAGTTTTAATATAGTAGACAAAAAAATAAATAAAAAAAAAAACCCCCAAAAAACCCTAACAAATATTACCTTTGATGGTAAAGTTACAGTTGGATTTTGATGTCCTAAACCAAGCTGACCAAATTTATTTTCCCCACAACTAAACACCTTTCCTTTATCTGAAATATAAACAAAAGTATATATAATTAAATAAAAAGTATAGAAAACCCTACCAAAAAGTCATGTATTTTTAAACTGTTCTAATCTCTCCTCATTGTAATTTTACATGTAGCCTACATTTTGTATGTCTGGTAGCCTCTGAAAACATGGACATAGACAAACAATGACATAGATATTTCACTAAAAGGTGGTAGAGGGAATTACATGAAAAAGCTAGACTAAATCTAATCCAAAAAAAGATTGAGTGTTTAAAAACTTTAAATTGATAATGCTTATACACTGTAGATTATAAGTTAGTTTTAATATTTCAATGCCACTGAAATACTGGTACATATTAATTATAATTAATAAGACCTTAAAATTTTTAGATTTTAAATCAGTATAGCTTATACAGTGTAGAATATAAGTTAGTTTTAATATTTCAATGCATAACAAAGAACTACTGGTACATATTAATTTTATGAACTTACAAAATGATTCTCGATATTTCATATCTTAAAATTATTATTATACCATACCTGTTAAAAACAGTGTGTGATTTTTACCGCAAGCTGCATCTATTATATTAAATGGGTCTAAAAATTCAACTTTAGTTGGTAAATCTCTACGTTCAGTGTCACCATGTCCTAGTTGTCCTTTTTCATTTCGTCCTAAAATAGAAGAAACATATCACTATAAAATACACGTCCTTTTTCCAGTGATACAGGTTCAAATTAACTTGCTGATCAGTCTTGGCACAAATTCCTTGAGGTCTTATTTCTGCATCTGATGACTTCAATAAAGATCAATGATTATTGTAACTTAACAGATCACTTGTATACACTACTGTACTGAGCCCTCGCCACCCGAGTCAATTTAGCAAACATTTCAGACGTGCAGAATTATGGCATCTTACAACCTTACTTCCATCTTGATCTCCCCTTGGCCCATGATTATAGTTATTATTAGCTGTATGATCGAGACTAAAACCATAAAATTATGTGTATGTTGCACTGGTAATACAATTATATGTATGTTGCAGTGGTAATAAAATTATGTTATGTTGCACTGGTAATACAATTATATGTATGTTGCAGTGGTAATAAAATTATGTTATGTTGCAGTGGTAATAAAATTATGTGTATGTTGCAGTGGTAATACAATTATGTGTATGTTGCAGTGGTAATAAAAATATGTGTATGCTGCAACACTGGTAATAAAAATGTACGTAGAACAAAAATACAAACCCCATGACAGAACTTTTCCTTCATTTGTTATAACAATACAATGGCAGGCTGTAGGACCGGTAACAACAGATCGTATCTTCACACCTGTTAATCCTTTAACACGATGGGGACCCCATAAATTAGGACCGCCACGATTCTTAACTAAATAGAAGAAAACACATATTAATCAATAACTTTTAAAACATTAAATTCTCATAAACTGACTCAAAACTGAGTAAACTTTATAACAAAGAAATCTTCCTGGGTTCAACCTGGACATTGGAGAAACTTCCTCAGGATCTTCCAACCAACACAAACCAAGTCATTTTGGGACTAACATAAAAATACACGACACAATTCTATTTTTCGTAAAAAAACAATAAAGGCTTCTCTACCTCATGGACAATAACAAATGTCCATAAATTTTAAGTCAATCGAACGATTAACTTTATCCTCTTGAATGTTCAATCAAAGGGAATGGTGGACAATAAAAAAGGGCAGGGGGTAGCGATAATATATGACTACTTTTAACTATAACTGTGGATGCATATAAAATAATTCACCTCCTGCTGGAACTTTACTACGACCAATTAAATCCCAATTGGTACCACCACAAATCACAAGTTCTCCAGTTGAAAGGGGAGCATCTAATGTCTGAAAATAATTTACAAACATTCAGTCAGAAAGTTCTTTTCTATTCATTTATACAAAAGATCACAGGTAACACAAACTAAAGAAAGTAAATAGCCCTAACAGTTTATAAGGGGTGCCAGATAACTCGTCCACAAGCAAAGTCCTCCACAACCACTGCTTACTTCGTCCACAAGGTATTGGTTATGTCGTCCACAACTAATACTTGACTTTAATTGTATGGAATAAATTTAAAGTTTTACTCGTTGATTGTTTATAATTGTTTTATTTAGCCAATAATCAACTGGCCTGGTTGACCAATCACGATCGAGATTAGTTCACAATGTTTTTGTAATAAAATAAACCTCTATTGTTTGTTGATTGACGTTATGGTTTTAGATTAGTTCATCTATGTTTTGTAATAAAGTATAGTATACTCTTATGAAATTTGTGTATACATGTATATATACATCTATTACCTTCATTAGTTCTTACTGATTTATATCATTAAGTTTTAATTGAAATGTGCTATTTGACTATTTACTATGGCTAGTGTGAGCTGTTTGTGCTAAGGCATTTCGTCCCCAACAAGAGGCATTACAATGCGATGGTTGTGACTGCTGCAAACACTGTATTTGCAATTCTGCCATGCGTCGGGAGGCGTATCGCCAGATTGTTCAAGGGGGTGAAGTTCCATTGTCAGGAATGCCCAATTGGACTCCTTCCTCCACTGGTGATCTAGAAGGTGATGTGGAAGTGAGAGGGGAAAAAGGTTGAGGGTGATGTGGAGAATGAGATGGATGAGAGAGAGAGAAATGGGGTTTAACGTCCACTCGACACTGACTAGGTCATTTCGGGACTAACATGGTTTAATTTTATTTCAATAATTTTACCTAATACTTCATTTATTACAAGATGAATCTAAAACTGCAGAACTGCAACACCGACTAGTAGTAACAGACGAATTTGATGTGCAGACAGAGGAAGAAGTTTGACACTATTGTTGAAAAAATATTTAAAATCTGGGAATTATACGAACTGGGAGAAAAAAGTATGTCGGGACAATTAAAAGAGGTTTGTTGTTTAGTGGCTGTGTAGTGACTTTTTGGGGAATTTTGTTGTTTGTTAATGACATTGTTTTTTAATTTGTTATTTATTACTGAAATTGTTATTGAATTTGTTAGTTATTAATGAAATTTGTTATTGATTACTTATTGAATAAAGGGATTTATTTTGTTGTTTGTTATTCATGAACGTGACTGCTCTAGCTTGGCGATAGTCTGCCAATTGCCCTAAAGTAAATTATACTCACATCAAACTATGAAAACCATGTGGGTATGATGATAAAGCACCACTCAGTACAGAATGCCCTCTGTGTTCCAAACATTGAACAATGTTGTGTGGACTACTTAACCAAGTATTTCTATATCCCATAATTAAACAAGATCATGTGGACAAGTCAATCAATGCTTTGTGGATGACTAACCAACGAGTTTTGATATTTGTGGACAACTTAACTAAACTTTTTGTGTGGACGATTTTGCTTGTGGATGAGTTAACTGGCATTCTTAATAAGTATGATCAGAAAGAATAAATTTAATTAAAACTGAAAATAAACCGGTGTGATAAATTAAACAAGAGTCATTGAGAAATGTTGCAGTGGCAATCATTTGATAGATGTATAATATGAGAAGAAATTAGGATTAATTCTGTAATCTTAAGATAGGTTGCCAGGAAAAAAGAAACATACACCCACAGCAGGTAAATCGCCCGAGCGGTCAACAAGGGTTGTCGCATATTTATTCTTTTCATACAGATCAGTTTGTAATTTTCGGCATTTGAGAACTGAAATAAGAGCCTTAACTCTAGAAGTAATTTACAGAAATCTTTTGTTTTACTAATTTAAATAATGCCTATAAATTTTATACAGATCGGTCGGATGATAACTTCTGTCGTTAACGACGTTCAACAAAGTGAAATCAGGGCCCTAACTCTAGAATTAAAACAGAAATTGTTGAAATTAAATTAGGCTTCTTCATCTCAGTAATGTAAACAACATATATCAATTTTAAACCAATCAGTAAATGTAGTCTGTAGAGTGTTCACAAGAAATTGTGGACGGACGTACAGACAGACGGCAATATACAACCACATTCCCATGTGGGTATATAAAAAGTCATTACGCATGTATATGATAAAAAAATATAAGTTTTAAAAAGTGATTTGAAATAGTTTTTATCTGTTCTAAAATTCAAACGTGAAAGAATTAGTTAGGCCTTAAATAGCTCTTTTTCTACTATAATACACAATTCATATCTCATGGATGATCTGGTGTGATTTCCATTTTCTCGTTTGCTGAAAAAAAATAGTTTACATGTAGTTATCTTTTATAAAATTGGCCAACAGTCTCAGCATATTGGTGCCAAGCATGGCACAGCAATTAAGTAAATCTACCCCATTTCATGTGTTTATTTTATTTCAATTTTATTTGGTAGGTCTGGCAATCAATCAATGACAATTTCCACGAACCTTTCAATCTATATTAGTTTAGATCTAGATTATTTATTTTATTCTTTTTTGGTTTTTAATAATTAGCATTAAGAATCATCAAAAAGCAAGTTGCTGTAGAATGAGGACAAAAATAATATCAATTATTTTAAAAACTAGATCTAATAAATCATAAATGGGCCATATCAAATTCTTTGTCACTATATTTTAACAGTCTTTGTCTTACGTTACATTCCCTACTTTTTTCTGTTGGTTATTTTTTAGAAATCAATCTAGTTAGGACTCCTAAGAAAAGAAGCCAGATCATTAGTCTGAGTAATAAATGGGATTATAATATACACAGAAGACTGCTGTTCAAAATGATGTTCTGATTACTGTAGTTGGGAATTGGTCTATTCATAAAATTGTGAAATTATTTTCACTCACAATATCAACAGTTTCTTCTTCTCCGATATCATCATTGTTTTCAGCCTGTCCGTTTCCCCCGAAGTTGCCTTCACCGTCTAAGTCAGAATCGTCGGAATCGCCGGTGGTTTTGTTCTTCTTTCGTTTTTTAGATTGTGATTTAGCTTCTCCACCGTTCGCACGTTTCTTGGGGGGCATTTTCTTTTCTTAATTCGTTAATCAAAATCTTAACAATTACCGCGAACTCCAGTACCTCTGTGACCGTACTCTCATTTATTCCCGCTGTTTCCCGCCATCATGACGAGATTTCACGACAAGCTGGGCTATATTCGGGCGTGTTTGCTATGTTTTTCGCAATGATGGTTTTTCGTCTCAAACCCTAGTCCAGACCAACCTGTATGTCCGGGCGTCCTAGCATTTACACACGTAATTTGTCATAGAAATATATACTTCTATGTATTTTGTCGTATGAGTGTATTCCCTTTAAAATATACAACCTCTTGTCCGGGCGTCCAAGCATTTACACACGTATTTGTCATAACTTCTATGTATTTTGTCGTATGAGTGTAGCCTATTCCCTTTTATAGGCCTATATACTGCCTCTTGGAAATGAAAGTAAACCATTCTCTGTTACCTTGAGGTAAACACGATTCTTCTTCGTTTTCTTCTTCTTCTGTGCTTGTGTTTATCCAGTGTTAACTATTTCCCTGTCAAAATTTTGATTACCGTATCAAAATTTTTATTTTTTTTTCTGAAATCGCCTCAATTTTGGATATGATAAGATCTTTCATTGTCTTTAACTTTTTGCAATACTTTTGTGGTAGGACCGTTTTTGTCAATTTTCAATCATTCATAATTTGTTCAATTTTTTTTATGAAATCATTTAAATGACGGATATGATGTGCAGGATATGCATATTTATAAAAATATCTTCCGTTTTCTATAAGTTTTTGCTAATGACAAAAAAAGGAACATGCGTATAAAGATGCCGAGACACAAGATTGTTAGGAAAGTACAAACCAGGGCCCCGTTTCTCGAAATCTTAACTAAAGATAAAATCCAAATTTTAGTAGATACTTCAATTTTGATTAGCTTAGCACTAAAATCAATCTAATATTATCCAATCAAATTACTATAATTTGGATTTTATATTAGTTAAAATTTTGTGAAACAGGCCCCAGAAAACGATAGTGAAATTCCCCGACGAATGCACGTGGCGGTGGATTGGACGAAGATTGTACCCGCACCAAATTTCAAGCATTATACATCATTGAGAACTCCATGAAACCCGGACAAAAGTAATTTCAGACCGTAATCGATGTAAAACTACCACATTAAACTCTACTGAAGGAAAGCACTAAAAAGAACAATGAACAAATAAGCCCATATGGTTTGTGGAAATATCAAAAATGACTCACCGCGCTTCTGAATAGCTGTCTTCTTTTGCTATTATTTAGTAGGCCTATGTTCCTAGATTAGCCTGTAGATTTCTAACTAATAAACATTTGAGGCGGATTAGATACAAAGTGGAACCAATGATTGAAATAACCCATTTGCATTAGCCCAATGCAGAAAAGTAGGACGTTAAACCCGATTTAATTTCAAAGCAATCTCACATGATAAAATGAGTATGGGAAGCTTATTCAAGACATACAATTTTCTGAACTCATCGCGTTTACGGTGTTACAAGCATTTTTGATCGAAAAAGAGTCGTTTCGATAGAGGTCGAGAATTATAATTGGACAGTGCAATGGATAAATCACACACTCCACAAAAGGAAAACCGGGAGACAGAGTTCGAAATGCACCTCATCCACGTTGTATGTCAGGTACGCATATTGCTTGACTCAGACATACCATGGAATTTACAAACATCAATCTAAAAGGTATTTGCGCATGGAGCAAATAATATTGGTCAATAATGTGACTTTTCTCCTCAAAAATCAACTCCATACAGAGGGTGTAAAATCATTTGTGCAAATGGCCTTTTACTTTTGTTTATATTTATTTTAATGAGTTTAAAGGCTCAATACCACTCTTGTTGTAACTGAATAATATGTCCCAATCTTTATTCTGGTCAACAAATTGTACTAATGTAGACTATTTCAATCAATTGATGATACAAATTTTATCTTAACACACCTTATTTAAAAATTTTGAAAAATTCAACATAATGGTTTGAAACGTCTAACGTAAACCTTTTCAAATGAAACTTCGATTTAAAAATATTTTCGAACCCTCTGGACAAGTAAAATAGGATGTAATGGATAATTTACACAACAGGTAGGACACTTAAACATCTAGTACTTAGATAGAGATATTATTTATTTTCTGGAGCTTTCAAGCCAGCAAGAGTGTTATTGTCCCTTTAAGTATGTGTATATCTCGAATTTTGGAATATATATTCTTCCAAAAAAGTAGTGGACATTCAGAAACTATACAAAACGGCGGAAATGCACTGCTGCTATTATTAGAGGTAACCCGTGTATGTTAATAACAGGCCAATTGCCTACACATGAACATAAACAGTACATATGGGCGGCTTAACTGACGGCCACATTCACTCGCAAAGAGATACACCGTCCAAAGTGGAAATGGACGTTTTTGATTTTTGTCTTAATAATGAGTAATTACTCCACCAATCCTCAGACATTCAGCAATTCGTCGTGGCATGCTCCTAATCAACCGTCCAATCACGATTTGTTGTCGGTTGAACACGTCTCTCGATCACATTAAACGTAACACACTAAAGCAAAGATACGCTAAACAGTAAATCGTATGCAAGAACCGATAGGAAAGCAAACATGGATAGATAAAACAGCACGCGGCAGTTTTCATCAAACCTTCCTTGAAGTGTCAAATTTGACAATGAACCCATTCCACGTGATTGCCGCTATTGCTTGTCGCATATGCAGCTCAGTGGTTCTGTTGGGGCGATAAATTCTTCATCTGTGAACATACTCTCAAAGCATGTCAAATGTCCATGACTATTTATCATATAGCAACCTGCATATTTGCATTTCAATATCCCCTACTTTTTTGAAGAGTATTTATGAACTAGATTATTGGACGAATTCTACCGCCTTCGTCAATTTAAGATCTCTACATACAGGAGAATCATGACATTAAAACGCACAATATTATTTTTTTAAAATTAAAGTTCGTTTTCTGTATCTGCCGAACCAGTAACCTTAGGCTTTTGTTTCCAGGAACAACTTGTTACTGCAAAACGGTCGCGTGTCAATCCATATGAACGCCTGTACAGTGTAAAGGAACATTTCAGTAAGAAAGTAAGACCTTGCTTACCTCGCCAGAGTCAGTACTATATGCGGCACATGTTAAACGACTTGACAGAATCCAATGGAATCTAAATATAGGGTAACGTTTAGCAGTTAAAAGTTGCCCAGTAAAATTGACTGGGGGCCGACAAGGATTCAATAGGGCGGTTCGTGAACGTACAGAGCGAGTGTAATGAGACCTACATTCAGAGTTTAACTACTGATTACTAACCCCGTGTGGGATGATACATTTGAACGAAATAATGCTTAACTTCTCAATTCCGACCTAGTTTTGTTAAAAAAAAAACTTGTTTATCTGTAGTGTAGTTATTCCCCTTGGATCGAAATATATTACTCAAAGCCATTAAAAACGCAATGTCTAATTCATGAAATATTTCTGGTAAACGTTTTCTTGGGCTTTGTGGCACATAGGTGAAAGTTGTGATGGCTCTCTTTTTGTGGACTTCTGGGTTTGAACCCAATATCAGTTCTCGGTAATGAACTTTGTTCGTCCAAACGCAACACTTGTCTTGTTTCACGATTCTAAGCAGTCACACGTTTTGCACGTGAATTCCCTGCACTCTGGGCCTTCAAATACAGATCAAAATTTCAACATTCATCACTTCGAAAAAATGCCACGCCTTTCACAAGAAAACAGGAACAGAGCTATTGATATGCTGGATCAGGGGGCTTCATAGGTTGCCGTCACCAGACACTTTGATGTCCACCCATCGACCATTGCACAAGATCGCCACACCCGACTACAGCATCTGTGCAACAGGTTCCAGTCAGCTTCTGCTACTGCCAGGGGAACTGTTGGAACACGGCAACCAGTCCGAAGGCGCCTGGCTGCTCTTGGGTTACGCTGCCATCGACCTTACCAAGGCCAAATCCCTTTGCATCGTTATCGACTTGCCCGACAGCAATGCGCCGCAAATCTGGGGTATCTGCACAACACACCATGGCGAAATGTCATCTTCTTTGATGAATCCCGATTCAACCCCAGTTTTCCTGATGAACGTCACCGTATCTACCGACGTCGACGTCGACATGAACGCTTTGCCCGTAACCCGATCGAACACCTTTGGGATTTTAAGCAGTCCCATGTCACACGTTTTCCACCTGCATTCCCTGCACTCTGGCACTATAAATACAGATCAAAATTTCAACATTCATCACCTCAGCTGACCCCTGCTTTGTTTCATGGTTCTCTGACGTTTCGGTTCTGTGTGAGAAATTATCCACAGATGCTTGTTATCTCGATTTTGTCAATTGTTATGTACATTTGATAAAAGTTGTTGCAGTAAATAAACTTAGAATTTGGCATTGCGTTTTTAATGGCTTTGAGTATATATGTGTGACACCATACGATACAATTAGATTGACTGTAATTTTTTGTGCAGTGGGAGACGAGCTTCTGTTCGGGATATATAGAAATATACATGTACATAACTTAATATTGTTGGTTTTCCTAGTCGATTTACCATCATCTTTGAATTCATTCGTTGTTGTATGACCATGGTATTATATACCTTTATTTTAATGTCATATTCCAAACTACATGAGTATGGCAGGTACTGTTGACTTTGGTATACCTATTCCTTACATAACACACCAGTTTACACACATTGGTTTGTTTTTTATTTTTTAAAAATAGTTTATTTACAAATAAAACAAATGTGCTGGTAAATATATTATCAAGTGAATTTATAATACACATCAAGGGCAACATATTATTATACATGTACAATGATATCAAATTATTTAAATATATGCAGGGGCGGATGCAGAGGGGGGGGGGTGCTCAGCTACATAAAATAAATTGTAAAACAACACTATTTATCACAAAATGTAGCGTGCTTTATCATCAGATGGTGGGATGGGATGGGCATTCAAAGGCAAGATGATGATATAGACACGAGTGATATCACAATTAATGCTTTGCATCAATGAAATTGGATCACAATGTTATCTTATTAAGTCATTATAAAATTGACGTCAAACAGTTCAGTGTATGTACGTATGCTTACGTAATTTGGAGACGATGATGGCATCTGCATTGTCAAATGTCCTGAGCAGGAATCTGACAAACCCGCCCCTGCAAAATTTTCTGGATTCGCCGATTATATGATCATACGCATCATAATATACACAATTCGAAAAATACACAATAAATTATCTAAGAGTCTATATAAACATAATACGTATCATAATTAGTAATTATACTTTAAGGAGCTAAACTTGTATTAATAACTCAATATATTCCATTATGTTAGAAATTAAAAACACGAATTAGACTTCTATAACCTAATATCCTATATTTAACACATAAACATTTTATAATCAGTACAGGAGTCGTGTATTCTATGACTTCGAATTTGGCTAATGGTTTGGATTGTTCGTACTTGGTTTTATTTTAGTTCAAGATCAGCGCTTTAATACACTATCCTGTCTGGGACTACGGATTGTACAACACCTTTATCTTGTGTGCAACAGGCGGTGTTCAGACGGCCCTTCCTTGATACAGTCTAGAATGAAAGAAGACATGTCTATGTGTATACTTTGGTACATAATTAAGCACAGAAGAAAGTTTGCTACTCGTCTTTAAGGGTCATTAATGCAAAAAGATACGCCCACATTTTGCAAGGGTAGGTTAGAGAACAAGCTAAAAATAAAAGAGCAATTTTTCGTACAATCATGGGCCATAATCCAGGAGGTTATGGTCTGAAATGCGCGAATATCAAAATGGACGGAGATCTTTGTGATATAAGGATATATTTTAAGTTTCATCAAAATCGAATAAAAATTGTGACTTCTATAGGGTCGCTATTTGTTACAAGGAGCGGCCATTTTGTCAGGCAGTTTCGGTCCGATTTTCACAAAATTTGAACTCAATTGTCATTTGAGTGTAACGGTGATACATTTAAACGTTTTTTAAAATAGGATAAAAATTGTGACCTCTAGAGGATCTCCAAGCTAATAAAAATAGCGACTTTTCGTACAATCCGGTGCCATAATTCAGGAAGTTAGTTCCGATATACGCAAATATCAAACGGAACCAAGATCTTTGTGATATAAATATGCATTCAATTTTCATCAAAAGTTTCGATCCGATACATTCCAATATCGAAAGGAATCGAGATCCTTTGGAAATAAACCTATATTTCAAGTTTCGTCAAAATCGGATAAGAATTGTGACCTGTAGAGTGTCCATAAACAAATTGTGAACGGACAGAGGGACGGACGTCCGAAAGGACAGGGGTGACGACAATATACGTCAACATCAAAATGTGGGCGTATAAAAAGTCAATCGTTATAATAGTCAAAATGAAGAGCCCAATGCACGAATTCGGCTGAATAAACCAAAAGCAAATTGACCTACAATATGGAAGCGGTATCAGGTGTTCCGAAAGGGGTAAGCATTGTCTTGTGTGGCTACAAACAAAGTAAGACTCGCTTTCTGGTCCCGGTATTGAGTTCTTAAAAATAAGCAAAGGGTTGCTAGGCCTGCATTATTTTGAAGGACAGTTCTTTCATCTAATGGTAATTCTATCCAAACAAGGCCTCTAGTTTTGTGCCCCGGTTGTGAGAAATATACTCACTTTCTGAAGGATGGCGTATCGTGCATGGGGAAGGGTATACTATCTTTTTCGAAACACTTGATACTATTTTTAAGTTGGCTCATCTGCGAGGAAGATGTTGCGTGGCAAGTTTATCTTGGCATTTAGTTTTGCGAGGCAGTAATGCTACACTGTCTATAAGATGGGTAAATTAATAGACGCTTTACCTGTAAATAGGCCAACGCATAACGTAGCTGTTGTAGTCGCCTTTTTGCCAACCATAATTTACAGCTTTAATATACTGTAATGTCCACAGTTTATGGTGATGTTCTTGGAATATTCATAACACAGTCCAGTTATATGCAATTGATTACACAGAACACACACGGTTCAAGGGTTGCGGTTTCTCTGGTCCGCAAGAATATTCCTAACACAGTCCAGTTATATGCGATTGATTACACAGAACACACACGGTTCAAGGGTTGCGGTTTCTCTGGGTCCTGTTTTACGAAATTTTAACTAAAGATAAAATCCAAATTTTAGTAGATACTTCGATTTTGATTGGCTAAGCACTGAAATCAATCTAATATTATCCAATCAAATTACTAAAATTTGGATTTTAACTTAGTTAAAATTTCGTGAAACAGGCCCCTGGTCCATAAGTCTCTTCCGTTTCCAATAAACTAATGATTTGTGACAAACGTGTAAAATGGCACCCGAATACGATTTCACCACCAGATTGATCGCAAAAAAGAGAAATCATATTTGAATTTATATTGACTGGATTATCATGTCCCATCTTTGTGTAATAGCTCAGTACGTCTATTTTGATGTACAGGTATTTAATATTTTGGCTTCCACGTAAAACACACCCATGCGCACTATAGTTTCATTCATTTCAGGCAACATAGAACTACAATGTATCTCGTCGAATTATAAACTTCTTAAAGAAACAGCAAAAATAGAATACGCTGTACTATGGGGGACATTTTGGCCAAACAGTGGTGTTTCCCCGGGTCCGCCTTTTTCCAATTCCAACTTTCAGGGTCTCCTTTTGCGTTCACATCTATCCATGAGCAAAATCGGGTTCGAACACGAGATCTCCAGGCTATCGGCCCTTTTTCATACTGGATAGACAGCCGTGTCTTCCACAAAGGATTTTGGCCCTTACCATTCTCGGATTGTCAGGAACTGTTGTATGCAGAATCGAATTACTGTACATTTTGAACACTATTGTTAAGTGCCTCCATTTCTACTTGACATATAGATCCGTCTTCACCACCGAAACTTTTCGATTTTTTGTTTCTACCTTGTCTTGTACAGTAAAAAACAACTCCACATATCATTATGGATAATACAATACATACAAAAATTACATACAGTATTTCTGAAATTTGAAAAAATTAAATATTCTTAAATTTGAGATTTCATAGTAGCTTCCCCACCTACCTACCCTTTCCGATTTCCCGAGAAATGAATGTCAACCGGTATTCCGCCCCCTCCCCACCTCACATTTTTTAAAATAAACGGGTTGGCAACTGCTAGATTTTATATTAAAGATTTCAATGAGGTTTTCAACCATACTATTACGCATTCTTTACAAATTTCAAGATTAATCACACAAAATTGTTTTATTGACGTTGGCATTTATGCACCAGTGGACAAAAAAATGTGACATTGGTCATTATATTATCAACGCTTTGGAGGTTAAGTATTCCGAATGCAAAAACAATCAGTATTACTATAAACACTTACTTATTTGGGATGAAGCCTCATTCTTATTTGATATGTTTTTACATATGGCGTCGTTGGTAGAATTACAAGGTTGGATCTCTGTTGAGCAATTTGAACATGGTAAACAATTAAGATTCGCAGTGTTATCTCTATACATTCCTTCAGGACATCCTGGAAATACATATGATGTAGATGTGGAAGGGGTAGAAGAGGTCGACGGTTTTGGTATACAGCCCAAATCGGGTACATCATAAAGATTGTCACGACAAACGCACACAGTATCACTCATCGTTGTACAGTCTGTAATTTTATCTTGATTTAATTCACATGTTTTACAATCTTTGCAAGATATAGCTCTATCCAAGTACATTGAAAATGTCCCACGTGAACATCTTTTACACTGGGCTTTAGTGAAATTTCTTATACAATCCTTGAATACGAACTCTCCCGCAGGACACTTTCCACACCACTTTCCATCCGCATAATAAAAACCTAAAACAAATAAATTGTTACATCGGTAATAAACTATCCATAAGAAAAAAAAAATATTTATAAACTTAAACTTTTCAACACTAGCATTAGCTTATAATCTGTTTGCCATTGATTACAAATTGTAATTCCGCTCTAACTCTGGAACTACAAATCTGACGCTCAATTTATTACTTTTTATATTTATATTATTTTAATCTGCATTTTAAAAACAATCCACCCACTGTAAACGTTACCTTCTAATTTGGCCATTATTAGACGCCGATAGTGTAAGAGATACCTTCTTTGTGGTTACAGAATTTTAAAGAAAATTCGTCTGATTTAATGGGAAAATTAATAGAAATACAACATGTGATATTATTATAAGAGCAGTTTTAGAACGAAAGCTAAATTTTATATGGGAATTGGTTTTACGCGAAATAAATTAAACTTACCGTTTTCATCTTCTTTAAATTGACCGTTTTCATCTTCTTCTAATTTCTGAAATAACCATATTGATAGTAAGTATAACTGACAATTAAAAGCATAATTTACATTTTGTTTTGGTATATAAACCAGCGGTTGCCAGGCAAGATACATTTTGCAAGAGATGGATAGAGAACATGCTAAATAAAACACGATTTTTCATACAATCAGGGGCCATAATCAGAGAATTTATGGTCTGAAATGTGCGAATATAGAAAGGGACTGAGATCTTTGGGATATAAAGATGTATTTTAAGTTTCATCAAAATCGGAAAAAAAATTTGACATATAAATGGTCCACATGCTTCGTATTACATACTTAATTGTAGGGGGTTGGGTGGCCGAATGGCGAATGGTTAGCACATGCGCGCTGTATCATAAGGTCTGCCATTTCCTTCGAGTAGGGTCGCCTGTTCAACCCCGTGGGTTTTCTCCGGGTCCTCCCACTACTAAAGACCTCTAAAATTGAACCATGTGTTAGTCCCGAAATAACCTAGTTTGTGTCGAGTGGACGTTAAACCCAATTTCTCTCTCTCACACACATACTTGTACTGTACAAGTATGTAATACGAAGGTTGTTGACCCTTTAGAGTTCACAATGTACACAACTTGTGTACAGAGAGCGGCCATTTTGTCGGGTAGTTTCGTTTCAATTTTTCTCAAATTAACCCAACCTTCATTATGGTGGAACAGTTATATATTTAAACGATTTTTAAAATCTGATAAAAAAAAGTTATGTCGTACAATCAGGGGCCATAATCCAGGGAGTTATGATCTGATATGTGCAAATATCCAAAAGAACTAAGACGTTTGAAATATAAACATATTTTAAGTTTCATCAAAATCGGACAAACATTGTGACCTCTAGCTGGCAGTTACGATCCGGTTTTTACGAAATTCGAACCCAGGGTGTTACGACGATATATTTAAACAATTTTTAAAATCGGATAAAAATTGTGACCTCTGGAGGTCAACAAGCTTAATTCGCAATCTTTCGTACAAATTTGTGGCTATAATCCAGGAAGTTAAGGTCCGTTATGCGCGAATATCGAAAGAAACCGAGATCTTTGGGATATAAACACATGTTTTAAGTTTCATCAATATCAGATAAAACAAGCTAAAAACATAATTTTTCGTACAATCAGGGGCCATAATCCATGAAGTTACGATCCGATACATGCCAATATCGAAAGGAAACGCGATCTTTGGGAGATAAACCTAAATTTCAAGTTTCATCAAAATCGGATAAAAATTGTGACCTATAGAGTGCCCACAAGCAAACTGACACGAGGCGACACGTCCACATAAAAATGTGGCCGTATAAAAATGAAGCTGTGGGATTTGAAAACAATGACATGTGAAAATGTAAGAATCCCAGCACAGAGATTTAGAAAATAAAGGGTTATTCTTTTAGCCACAATCCTTATGCGAGGCGCGTGTCCAACGGCCCGGGCCCTCTACTGCCTGTGCAGAGCATTTTCCTCCTACGTCCACCTAAAAAGTGTCGAACAAACATTGCCGCCGCTCTCGCCTCATTTCTCAATTCACAGGCTTCACGTCAAACTCATTTGAACAAATCTGAACAGGTCCCACCTATTCCTCACGAATACAACGGTGTATGATAATTACCAGTAGTAGCCACCAGTGTGAGTTATTTTACATGAAGACACCACACAGCATAACTTTGCCATGATTCCTTGTTATACTATGATGTTGACGACAAGCTATCAACTTCCTATCCCATAAAATCAATCTGCACTACGGATGAAACAATTTCCTCGTCCTTATGATATCTTAAAGGGGGTTATATATAACTTCTTTGAATTAGTTTTAAATAAAGTATTGAAATGGGGTTTAATGTCCTATACTGTTCTGCATCGGCTTGGCTAATGAAGATTGGCTTACGCCATACGGTGAGGGATATTTGGCCCGATCAGCGGATACCTACTTTTATTTCAAATTCCATCTGTAAAGGGCTCTTTCACGTGCACGCCAATGTATACGCGGGACCTCGATTTTTCGTTCTTTTCGAACGACTATACGGTGTCCCTCTCCAGTCCTCCAATGAGAAGAGGGAACCACTGCGGAAAATCCCGATGAAATTTCACGACCAACACCGGATCGAACACAGAACCTTTCTGGTTCCGGACCAACGTCTTACTCACTGAAGTATCTCAACTTCCGATAAAGTATTCAATCAGTTTGATTAGTTGTGAGTTGTGACTAAACTATGCGATTCATATTTTGTTACGAGAGATTAATCGTAAGTCGGCTAGTTTTAGTTTGGTTTATGAATTATTTTGTCTTCGACAGTTGAACACACACGCGGCTATATCCAGACACTGTCTTTGTCTATAGACCTAACATTATCAACGAAAATTGAATGTCATATCAAAAAAAAAATCAACATACAAAATACAATGAAATCAACATTTTTTAAAACCAAAATTAAAGATGTCTAATATTCTTACCATCAAATTACAGGATGGCAATAAACAAATAACCAATAGGACTGTAAGCGCCACACCTGAAAGATAATATGTTATAATAATACCACTATCAACAAAGAAGCATAAAAATAATATTATATTACACGCTTCAAAAGTTTTTTGGGGGAAATTACCAATAATGGGAAATAAATTCGGACGATGATGAGTTACCACGCATGACATGACCTTCGCGAACATCCAGGCCCCTATTGTATCTATACACGGGATTGCTACAGCTGACCTTTTTGCATAACAAGGGCGTAACAAGGATGGGTCCAACCAAATATTTTCAACTTGGTTGCATAAACCTAACCAGCAATGTCTTTTCAAAACGCAATTACCAGCTTTAGGCCGAGCATTTTTTTTTTTTTTTTTATAGTTCATGTATTCATAAATGAAATAGAAATCTATAAATATTTTACAAAAACTTGTTCAAACGTTATCAGTCTTGTTCATTTAACGTTTCATTAGCTATTATTGATTTCACGTCACCGTCTTTTTTATTTATTGTTCAAACGTTATCAGTCTTGTTCATTTAACGTTTCATTAGCTATTATTGATTTCACGTCACCGCCTTTTTTATTTATTGTTCCAACGTTATCAGTCTTGTTCATTTAACGTTTCATTAGCTATTATTGATTTCACGTCACCGTCTTTTTTATATATGAGTTTATAAAAAAACATAAACAATTCATAAATCTATTCTATAACATGTGAGACCATTCCTCGTATGATCTTGTATGTACGGATTTGCATAAAAGGCGGTATTGCGTGTGTATGTAAATAGCTATATGTCATCATTATCACATGTCCATGTATCGTCTAGAACATTCCTTTTATCAGATAATGTCAGTGAAAAACCGAGGTCCCGTGTACACATTGGCGTCCACGTAAAAGATCCCTTGACAGTTGAAATTCGATATAAGAGTAAGCCGCATTGCCGCTGTCCGGGCAAAATTTCCCCCGTAGCACGCTGTATGTCGTATGCCCGTCTTCATTAGCCCAGTTCAGAGCAGAACAGTTGGACGTTAAACACCATTTCATTTCATTTCATTTAATCAGATAAACGGTATCACCTTTAATGATAAAATACACTGATGTATTTTGTTTTATAATAATTATTGGATACGGATATATGACTGTATAATTGATGTTTTTATTATAGAATTATTAATCTTAACTTACTTTGTACATGATGCAGGTTCACCATCTTGTAAGACTTTGTTGACCTATAAATTAATGCTGGCATGATAATCGTTTTAAACTATGTCAATCAACAAATCAAATTAAGAAAAAAATTAGAACCTTCTCACTTGAACTAAACACTAAAACTGTCTTCCTCGTGACTTTGCATACATTTTTATATGCGCTCTGACGTCACTAGATCTTGAATGAATATTATTTAACTGCGCATATAAAAGCCTCAAAAGGCCCATCCTTATTCTTAACTGGTTTGAGTGAGTTTGCGGTGATCATAATAATAACTTGTATTTGCTTCAACTAGTAGTAGTTCAAAAAATGCGTGATCTACATTTTTTTGACTCAATCCACGTTACTATGTATTCAAAATTGGTTATTTAAAGATACTCTAGGTCATTTCGGGACTAACATACGGTTGAATTTTATTTGAATAATTCGCTTGCGCGTAGGGGTCTTTAGCAGTGGGAGGAAACCGGAGGACCCGGAGGAAACCCATGAGGCTGGACAGGCGACGCTACTCCTTGTCACGGGGAATCGACACCACTCCAGTTGACTCAATGATAGACCTTATGATACAGCGCGCACGTGCTAACCATTCGGCCATCCAACCCCCCAAATTATTTAAGAGATGGTTCGATCCCTGCATTGGCCGAGAAAGTTCATCTGGATTTTCCGACGTGGTTTCCCCTTTTCAGTGGTGCAGAACTGAGGGCCTGACAAGGACAGCTGTCTAGTCCTTCGGATGAGACGAAAAACCGAGGTCCCGTGTATACATTGGAATGCACGTAAAAGATACCTTGGCATTTGGAATTCGATATAAGAGTAGGCAATAGTGCCGCTGCCCAGGCAAAATTCCCCTCATAGCGCACTGTGTATGCCTGTCTTCATTAGCCCAGTATAGTAGCAGAACAGTAGGACGTTAAACCCCATTTCATTTCATTTCATGACCCATTACGAATATGGAAGGCAAGTTCATGCCAGAGATTTTGTGTCTGAAAGAAGAAGACTTTTTGCCATTTGTCAGCCGATTGTTTTTTACTGTTGGCTGCCAGTTGCCAATCGTAGATTTCTAATCGGAGGGTACAAGCTCTACAAAATATAGAGGTGCCAGCTGAAGTAAGCCAGGCTTTGTAATTTTTAACTGTGTTGGGAAAATTTAATTCTGACATCACTGTGGAATTCCCTTTATACCCCCCATTTGTCCTCCTAAATTCAATAAATTCATGTAAGCTGATTAATATATCAGCCATTAACCGTTTTTCTGACGCAAAAATGAATTTTTGGTGGACTGGTTAAACTGCTTGGCTACTCCAGATTTTGTTGGAGACCACAAATTTGAAATTCCAGGTGAAGGAGATAGTAATTGACTCTCATTAGAAATATTTTGTTTCATAATACTATCACATGCCTTCCTGTGATTTTCGATTTTCTGTCATGGTTGATGATGGGGCACAGTGGGAAACATGTCAGTGGGGCACACTGAGCATATAAGCATTTCGAGATTAACCAAATATCATTTGTCCATTTTAGACAGAATCTGGATATTTGAGTTGTTTTTAAGGAAATATTGGTCCTAGGTTACGAATCCTTACTGACATACAAATCATATGAATTGTTTGCATAAAAGATTTTTTTTTTCTCCAGTTAAAGAATTTGTTATTCAATGTTAAGCTGTTTTTTTTTAAATTTCCTGCTGCGTATCTGTGTTCAAGTATTAAAACAAATTCACATTTTGAACTAAAAGATTACTTTTTACAGTTCTGATGAGTTTCAGTGTGTTTACTATACATTTTTTTTAAAAAACATACTCGATGGCCAACTGTATCCCATAGTGGGACCCAGTGTACCCCACATACGGGGCACATTGGGTCAAAAAAAATGTTGGTTTTACAATAATCTACATAAAAATGATTTCAAATGGTTTATAAAACAAACCCATTCTTTAGTGAATAGGTAACTAAGGCCGCTAAAGCAATATCCGTAAATGAATTTTATAAATTTCTGGTATAGGAAATTTGTAACTAAAATAAATGCTTTTTAAAAACAATATTCTCTGCAATTTATTAAAATATTTTAAAAACATATACTATACAATATTTAAAGTTCATAAACTTGATATTTGATAACATTTTGTTTGAGAAATGGCAATTAATAATTTACTTTTAAGTATAAATATAATACCATTAATGAGACAAATTTTGTCATAATTAATCAGCTTTTAATGATTGTTGAATATTCATATTAATTTAGAAAATAGGACAGTATAAGTCTCTATACTTGTAATATGTTTGAATAATTCAAGTTTTGTATCTCTCTATAACAACAGTTTATATAAACAAAAAATGTTATTTTTGAACTTATATAGTCTTGTAATGTTAAACTAATTAGCAGTTTCTTCAATATTTGTCTTTATTATTAACGAATATAACACTTTATACCACTTTTCATCTTTATACAAATGTCCACTCTTCTGTTTAATACAACGTACTGCTATAATCACAACAATAACAATAACAACAACAGCAGCAACTGTAATGCCAATTATTAACCCTACAAAATAGAAGAAATTTTGTTTAACGTCATAAAATAATTAAATGGATTTTGGCTGTGTAGATAAAATTAAAAGTTAATACACATGCCAATAAAGTAAAAAAAAAAAATCAAAAAAAAATCCCGGTTTTTACAATATCAAGTTATTAACATAGTGCATTATTTACCTTGTTTGTTGTCCGACCCGTTCGTATTTTGTGTTGATGCACATATAGCATCATGGGTTCCATTACAAGGATGTGTTACATTTAAACAGTTTGAACATGGAAGACAGTCGGTATTTTTAGATATATCACGATACATTCCACTAGGACACTCTGGGTGATGAGGTGCTGCTGTTGACGACGATTGCTGAGGATTTACACTTTTGTCAGTTTTTGGTACACAATAAGATCCAGATCCGTCGGTATTCCGCACTTCAACTAAATTGTCAAGACAAACACACACCGTATCACTTATTGTTGTACATTGTTCTTTTATTTTTTGTCCTATTCCGCAATGCGTACAATCTCTACAAGATCTATGTTTTGACATACGTGGATAATAAGTGTCCGTTAGGCATTTCTGACATTGTCCAGCGGTGCTATTGACTTTGCAATCACTCAGTACAAAATGTCCCTTTGGGCACTTGCGACATGTCAGTCCGTTTTTAGCTTTGTACCATTCTGAAACATGTAACAACATATTAATCATTATAAGTAGCCGTTTCTCTCAGAGTCTCAGTTATCAAATAAAAAATAAATAAATAATGTTATCATAAATATCATAATTCAATTATTGTTAGCAGTATTAATGCATAATTCGATTGCCATTATTGGTAGGGTGACCCACGGTAAAAAAAATATCTCAAAAGTTATGTCACCATGTCCATGCATGTAAGAAATGAAATGAAATGAAATGAAATGGGGTTTAACGTCCTACTATTTTGCTCCGAACTGGGCTAATGAAGACGGGCATACGCCATACAGTGTGCTATGACGGGAATTTTGCCCGGACAGCGGCACTACGGCCTACTCTTATATCGAATTCCAACTGTCCAGGGATCTTTTACGTGCACGCCAATGTGTACACGGGACCTTGGTTTTCCGTCCCATCCGAACGACTAGACAGCTTTCCTTGTTAGACCTTCCGTCCTGCATCACTGACAAGGGAGAACCACGCCGGATGCATGTAAGAAGCATTACCTCAGTTTTTCCTATTTATTATTACTAAATATTAAACATACATTATGCAAGAGCTAAATCTGCCTATTTCAGTTCTTTCTTTAGACCTGAAATGTTATCTAAATTATTAATTAGACATTAATTAACTTATCCAGACCATAATCAACTCTCGATGTCAACGCTAGTCTGCGATGTTTACTGGATTAGGATGCCATTTGCTACTCCACTTTTATTCTTGATTTAATCATGAAATGGATAATCGAAACTATTTTTTTTTATTGCACCGACTTTAGTAATGATGATCGCGGCTAGGCCGAAAATTCAATCAAGAGTTGGTAGTTCTCACTATAATAGTTAAAAACTAGATAATGTAAAGGGAATTTGCTGAAAATTTCAGTCAAATTGATCCACCCTGAAACGAGTATATAGCGATTGAGTTTTGGACCTAGCCTCGATCATCAATACTAAAGTCGGTTCGATAAAAAACACAGTCTCGATTATCCATTTCTCTTTTATTTTATCAGAAGCAGCAGACCGGGTTCTAATCTAGTAAATATTGCAGGCTAGCGATGCCATCGAGAGTTGATTATGGTCTGGATAAGTTAATGTCTAATTAATAATTTAGATAACGTTTCAGGTCTAAAGAAAGGCCTGCAATTGGCAGATTTAGCCCTGCATAATATATGTTTACCGTATCCCGACCATAATCAACCCTCGATGTCAACGCTAGCCTGCAATATTTACTGGATTTGGATCCGTTTTGCTGGGTTTTTTTTATCGTACCGACTTTAGTAATGATGATCGTGGCTAGACCGAAAATGCAATTGCTAAAATCTTGGTTCAGAGTGGATCAATTTGACTGAAATTTTCAGCAAATTCCCTTGATATTATCTAGTTTTTAACTATTATAGTGAGGACTGCAGCTTTTTCTAATCTCCCATAATGTATCTTTACATTCGAGATTGTCCTTTTTTAAACACAGAAACTTAATGAAGAACAGAGAGAAGCCTACAGACCCCTTGTATATTCACTAAAGTAAGTTTAACTTTTATTTGAGGTTACTTCTGGTTGTGTGGAACAACCTACCATTGGTATAATATGGTGAATTAAGATGATTGGGAAAGTACATAATACAGAATATAAGGTGTACAGATCTTCAAGAATACTTTGCATCAAATTTAAAACTATTTGCCAGTAACCTTACCTTCTTTTGGGGCGTTTTTGTCAGGGACATCCACTTTGTTTGTTACGCTTGGTGTGTCCACAAATGTAACGTTATGTGGTTGAAGAGTGGATGGACAGGGTATACAATTACCATTATTATCACGATACTGGTCATCAGGACAAGGTAGAAATGGAATCACTATAGCGGTAGTTCTTAAATTGTCCGCTTTCGGTAAAATATCTTTTTTAAGTACACAATGGGTTCCTGATTTATCGACATAAGGTACCTCTTCCATATTGTCAGGGCAAACACACACTGTGTCACTTTTCGCTGTACAATTAATAACGATGAACTGTCCTATACCACAGTGTTTACAATCTTTGCAAGATCTTGCTCTATTGATAGACAAAGAAAATGTCTCCGGTGGACAGGATTCACAGTGGGCGCTTGTCAGATTTGTTTCACAGTCACTTGAAACGAAGGTTCCAGCAGGGCACATAAAACACATCATGCCATTATCACCAACATAATATTCTAAAACAAATATTAGAAAAAATAAAATTAGAGCCTAATTGAAAGCTGGTCTAAAGTAGATATGTAGCTCAATGGTTGGAATGAGTTGTAGTTTTATATTTTAATAAGCCTTGTTCTACTTTCCCAAAATAAAATAGTTTTGTTGTACTCCAATCTGGTTAAAACACAGATCCTATTTCGTTTCGTTTTTATAGTTCAAAATTTCGTTTTACTTGTCTTTACTACACTTGGATCTGGAAGAGTTGTTATTTAACTCGTGTTCTGAATGGTGTCAGGGATAAGCCAATGAAACGGTCTATTACGGCGAGCTTTAGGCGTGTTTTTCACGGAACTGTGGGTAATCCACTAGTAACATCAATGCTGATTGGTTAATCAATTGTCTGACGTCATAGGTCATAAGTCGGTCTTTTGACCCCTGACGTGACCTATCGCTATAACTTGTCAGATCTTCATGTAGTGTAGGCCATCGAAAGGATAAAAAACCAAACGAAATATAGATCTGTATTTTAATCAGATTGGTTGTACTCATGCACAAGATACTATCAGAAATAAATGTTAAACATGATATTATTTAAAGAAACCGAACTTACCACGGCCATCTATTAATTTCTGAAATATACATAAAATATAAAAAATATGTGTGTATGTGAGTGGAGAGAGAGAGAGAGAGGGGGGGGGGGTATTATTTTATTCTCTATTTAAATATTGCAACGGTGCCGCACAATGACAATACCCAATCACAATACCTTTACGTTTATAATAGGCTAGCATTACCTCAGCTGAAGCAAGAAGAACTAAGACAGTTAATGGATCTTTCTCTCACGTTTCTTTCAGGTGTGGACATTAAAGCTAATTCACTGTATTAGAATTGTAAGTTTGAATTTACTTTATATCGTGGGACACACTACGGGCAGAAAATGCCACTGTCTAAATACGTTTTGCCATGATTTAGACTGTCGGTTATAACAAAACACAGACTATGTGTATTTAGAGAATACATCCTATTAGCTTAATGAAGTAGTATCTAATTTACCTTTAAAAAGTTATTTGCTGGACAGATGTGAGGAAGCAAACACAATGACATCACAATAATAGACAGTGAAGGGACACAGCACAAACCTGCAGATAATAAAATACAACAATATGCTTATCATATAAAGATACGCCCACCAACAGCTTTGTTTTCAACGCCGTCATGCCCTTAGCAACCCCACTGCATCCGTATTTTCTTTTTTTACAGAGTAGATTTCTCAATTTTGTCCACCAACTAGGCCTAAGCAGCTGTTTCTGTAGTTCAACTCTGAACGTAGTTCTCATTACACTCGCCGTACGTTGAGGAACCGCCCTATTGAATCCCCCCCCCCACACACACACACCACCCTAACACATATTTCAGTGTTAAATTATTTAGTAGATAATATTTGAATTGACGAAAAGAAAAGGAAATCGAACCGCTGACATGTTTCGATCTTTATTGTTCTACATTATAAAACTAAAAAGAAAGATTCTCCTAAATACAAAATGATTTACAAAATAAAAACAATGTGTTTGTCTAAAACACTTAAGGAGACTGTTCCAACCTCATTTCTATATTTATTTATATACGTTATAGACAACATAAAGGATTCTCTTATTTTTGTCAACTAGCAGGATACTCGGCTTCGCCCGTGACCCAAAATCGCACGGGGCACAGAATCGCCAGAGCTTAAAGGGACAATAACAATCTTGCTGGCTTGACAGCTCCAGTAAATAAATATTAGCCTTATTCTAAGTATTAGATGTTTAAGTGTCCTACCTGTTGTGTAAATTATCCATTACATCCTATTTTACTTGTCCAGAGGGTTCGAAAATATTTTTAAATCCAAGTCACATTTGAAAAGGTTTACGTTAGGCTTTTCAAATCATTTAGTTGAATTTTTCCAATTTTTTAAATTAGGTGTGTTAAGATGAAATTTGTATCATCAATTGATTGGAATACTGTAAAATAGTACAATTTGTTGACCAGAATAAAGATTGGGACATATTATTCTGTTACAACAAGAGTGGTATTGAACCTTTAATGCGCCCGGGGGAGGGGGGTATATTCGCCAGGGGCCCATTTCGTCGAGGTCCTAAATCCGCCCGAGGCCCAAATTCGATGGCCTAAAACATTCACGGGATCATGCTGAGTAATTTGAGTCTTACATACAGTATTCTTTATGCGACAAAAACGGGTCGAATAAAATATAGGAAGTCTATTTTAAATAATAATACATTGCAAGTTACGACGACAAACACAATGTTTGCACAATAAGTAAAGACCAATATAAACGTATAACACAATGAATGTCCAGTTGCAGAAATTATATGCATCACGAAAAATATATACAATAGCATGACTACTATTATTATATTCTTTAGTTCAATAGTTGTCACAGAAATTTGCTTTGAGTTCCTATGTGAAAGCTGTTCCATATATCGGAGATATATGTATAGGAATTGTTTTTCCTTTTAAAAAATAATAATTCAGCCAGCTGATAAATACACCATTATAACATTATATGTACTTATGGCTCTTTAAGATTATGTACCATAAAAGAAATTTAATTCGGCCCAACCCAGTCCGATTTATATGAATTCGATAATAAACTTAAACTTTTCTTTGAATACTGGAGGTGGCTATAATCATTTATTTTAATGTTTGTAATAGCTATCTAAATTTTAGTCAATGAATCATGCAATGTATTGTATCTCAACTCAACCCTGACCATGTCTGAAAAGAATATGATATTTCTGTATACCAACCGAAATTCGTGGATATCCAGTATACACAGATTTGTGATCAAATTTTAATAAATAATATTTTGAGTTTAGAAGATTATTATTTAAAGTCCTGGTAATAGAGCATAATATAGATTTTAATAAGATATAATTGTTGAATATATTGCTCAGAATTTGGACCTGTTTTTACCTATATTCCCAGTTTTTACTAATCAAATCTTAATAAATATTGTGTGGATATATCATTATTTCAACTCCATGTAGTACAATATAATGGTCTAAAGTGGATTTAAAAGAAGAATAAATCTTGAATATATCCCTTAGGGTTTTGACCGGTTTTGGCCAGATTTTAACCCTTGTCTAACGGGTGATAATTATTGAACAAATCTAACGATACGAAATTACTGTTTATAATAATGATGGAAACATTTGCATAGCCTATATATTATATTGTAAATAGTCAACTTACCGTGAGTGTTTCCCATGGTGTATCGTTTAGATACAACGATCTGAAAGTAAGAGAAAATATACTTTTTAAAAGCAAACACCTATTTAACTGAGGGTGGGAGGTCGAAAGTTATCTGTAATGTTAGGTATTATACGCAACAATATTCTGTTCACACTTCTATCCCGTAGCCTACACAATAAATCAGGATTTGCGAAGAAAAACTATTGAATATAAAACCTATTCAAACACAGGGTCAGACATAACGTTATCAAGATAAATTTATTATTAATATACATATATAAATGCACACCTTATAATTATATCATAATTATTCGTGGATAGCTTAGGTCACATCGCCCATGGATAACTCACCTGTTACGTTCATGTCATCAGTTGTTAAAATCATACGCATAAAATCTTTGTCTAATGAAGCAAAGTTCTTGATTTAATTATTTAATTCTTAGTCCAAAACCTATCCGATTATGACTGACCTCATATCAATAATATTTTATGGCTGACATTCGGGGTAACTGCAGATTTCGTCAAAGTCGCCAGATATAAACAGGGCTAGGGCAAGCGATTGTTGACGAGATTGTGGATTAGGTTTAGGGCCAGGTCTAGGGTTAGGAGGGTTAGTTTAAGGAGGGTAAGTTAAATCTCCACAAAGCACTGGCTTAGGTTAATGAAAAATTAGTTTGTGGTATTTGTATTTCCTAGTTATGGTTAGCGCTAGCCATTTTTACATCTCGTAACCTTTGACAAAATCTGCAGTTGACCTAAAAAGATACATTCCCACAAAAGTATTTATCAGGTGGTTATTTCCAATAAAATATGGCAAATTTGATATATTATAATATGAAAGTTTAGACGCTCATTCTTACTAGAAAAATACTGGATTACCCGAAAAATACCCATGGGGCAAGCATTGGGCAAAAATGTCAGGGTATCACTTACTGGCAGCCCGACTTATTGTCTTCCAACTTGACTTGGGGATCGGTTGTTATTTCTTAATCAAATGGTTTGGCGGTTATTGGAACATGAGGGAAGAATTGCTTTTGAATAAGTTTAGAAACCAACGAATTAAGAAATTAATATTTAATGATATAGAAATGTTGCCGGTAAAACGCAGAAAACGAAACATAAGGTCAATTTCTTGTTTATAATGTTGATTTTGGGCTGGTTACTTTAGTAACGGATTCGGGCAGAGTCCGATAAGAATCCGTTACTAAAGTAACCAATTTCGTGTATGGAATGGTGACATAACAGACAGAAACAGCAAACATTATTTTAAAATATTGCTTTCGTATTTAAAATGTTCAAATTGAATGCAGAAACAAAACTCAATAATAGTGTCCCATATCTTCTATGCAGGGGCGTGATGATCAGATTTTGCATGAGGAACAAGATTCCGCACGGGACCACCAAAAAAACAATATTTATATGTGTGTGTGTGCGGGGTGGGGTGGGGGTCTCTCCCAGTATCGCCGGGTTATATTGGGCTGTGTGGAACATGCTCGAGTCGGTTTGTAGCGTATATCTGACCCATGGTATATACTGGTTAAACATTATGATTATGATTACAATGTTGAAAACCACATTGAAAAAAGCGTGATTTTTTTGCCATTTGCGAGGGGGCACAAAATCTCGAGTGGGCGCAAAATCTCAAAACCATGATGCAAAGGTAGCGTGTACCCATAGAGCTATATAACTCTATATAACTCTATGCGTGTACCAAGCTCAAGGGCAGTTAACTCTGTTTGGCTTAATATTTTGTCCAAAAACGGTTAGGATTTTAAACGGAAAAGTACCTTTATTTTTATTGGCGGATGGTGTAACTTGGCGGGATATGTTTGGGAGAATGTTAGGCCTGTGGAATATGACAATTGGACCCGTATTGGATGAGTGGAACGATTTTTTCTAGAATTTTAAAAAATTCAAATATTTTCCATTTTTTTACGTATGAATATTCCAACATAATTTTACGATTTTATGACACTTCAGAAAATATTCTATTCATAAAAAATAAAAACCGAATGCGTTAAATTGAGAACTAAGAAAACATGTATACATCAAATAGCGGTACATGGCGATAAACCGGAAGTTGAATATCCACCATGGATGCCTATGGCGAATGCTGTAGCCATTTGTTTTCATTCTGTAAAAAAAAAAATGCTTATTCTGCCTTTTTTTCATAGTTCGGTTACAACATGATTTAGAAAATAAAACTACCCATGTTTATAATATATTAAAGATTAAATTTTAGCCGATATTATTCGATCTGTCGAAAATGGACCCAACCAAACCCGAAGAAACAGCATTATTATTGACAGACATAAATAAAAAAGGATGAACGCACGTTATTTAAAAGCAGAATTATACATGTATATTGTATCAACAAAGAATAATTCACATAGAAACTAAAGTGAAATGTTAGGCCAATTTATTATCACATGTCATGCGATATTGCGAGTAGGCTGTCTATTTTAAATTGTAAAAATAATATGTTTGTGACTAGTATTATCAGATTAGATGGGTATGAAAACTAATCTTTAGCGACGATTTGTTTAGTTTATTTCATTTTATTTATTTTTTCTATGCAAGCTGTTTACGATAGACTCTGAAGTAGAGGCCCTATGCATTCAGTGACCAGACTATTTGTCAGATCAAACATTGTTACCCCTTCTAGTTTATAAACAAAAAGAAACAGCTAGCAAAAAACAATTATTGTTTGAAACCTTCCAAATATTATTATATAATACCATATATTGTTATTATTTTATATAAATAACCAATATCTAATTATTCTATTTATTTATTTATTTATTAAGAATTAAATTGAATTGAATTGAATATTTCGAAGGATGAAACCTTAAAAGCCTTGTTGTAATTTTACTATTTTATATTTATATTCAAGTACTGGTATTACAAATCAGTTGCATTAGGAACAAATTTTACTTTCGTACAATTTCATGTTTCATAAATGTACATTTTCGTTCTTTCTTTTTTTTCAGTTAAAAAAAATTGTTAACCTTTAATTAAATCATATTAAAAATATTATGTGTTTAGGTTCAGTTTCCAAGGAGTAGGGTCAACTGCCCAACCTCATGGGCTTTCTTTGTGGCATCCCCACTGCTAAAGACCCTTACTGACAAGCAAATTATTGAATTAAAATGGTGGCCTATGTTTGTCCCAAAATGACCTAGTCTGGGGTTAAACCCCTCTCTCCACATCCTTCTTTCTATTTCTCCATATATCTTCCTCCCCCCCCCCCCCTGCTTGAAATGCATATTGTAGGATTTGTGTGATGGGAGCAAATGTTTATAAAGGAGAAATAGCAAACAATCGTCAAATTTAAGCCCAACCCTGTTCATTGATAAACACTTTTCCTGCAAAAACGTGGTCTTATTTGTTATATGAATGATTGTGAATTTAATAAGGAGTAACCGAACTGTTATTCTACCAAGTTTTATGTTAATTCATTCAAAAACATTGCAAATTACCACTTTTTGGACCAGATTCCGATTTCGGACCGAAAAAACAAAAACAATAAAAATTGAATATTAAAAAAGTATAAGTCGTGCAGATTCTAAAAAATTTAAACGGTTTTGAAATTCTAATATTTGGTCAATTATTTCTGTCGGGTTTCAAAGCAATTGCTCAAAAATTTGGTTGGTACATGCTAGCAAAGGTCGTCATTGCGTCCTTCCATGAAATTGCCGGTTGTCATTTCGACCCAACAAAAAGCCGAGCAGATAACGAATATTATAGCACAGTAGTCAGTATGAGTAAGCACATACATACCTTTGATTAAGTATAAGCAGGGTATAAGAAAGATGTACACAATTAAAACACAATAAATCCTTTAAATTCAATTAATAAAATCGAACGTTGAATCCGAATCTTTTAGAATGCAGTTTCACGAATGTCACTAGTCGGTGTTGCCGAATATTAATCTGTCAAACATGTCTTCTGATGTTTGCCGAGCCTGAGTGAACCTGAATTTTGTAGTCGGGGAAAACGTCTTACAATTCACGCACAAAAGAGCCAATGATGGACGTCCCGTGATGTGACGTCATACATGAACTTATAAAGGTTAGATACAGAGTCAAATAACACACATATTTATGGATAACAATTACTTGTGAAATCTTGTTGAAACGTCGCAGTGAAATAAACCACAGTAATTGTTATCCATAAATAGTGTGTTATTTGATTATGTTCCAATTACTAAATGCCATTTAAAAAATATGTTAGATACAGAGGTTGTGCGATATCACCTCGGTGGAAGCGGACGTAAAATACAACTAAGTAAGTAAGTAAGTTGTACCGCAGAGTGGTTGTACACTGTCTTGTCTACGATATCAGTTTAGGTGGAAGTGGGACGTAAAACTCCAGGAACGATTTGAGGTTAGATTAAGGTGTGTTTGTGTGGTTTGTTTTCTAAGTATTTAGGTCAAATAACACGACGTAACTGCATAATATCGTAGATGTATATGTCCATGAGTCATGGCCAATAACAGTGCGATTCCCGGAAATTGATTGTTTTAGATCAAATGTAGTTCCTTTAGAGACAGTTCCTAAAGGTATCTACAACAACTACGAGGCCTTGGCTAAACCTAGCTGTGAAAGACCTCTACATAGTCCCCTTCGAAGGAGGTGTCATATGTCGAGGTGTAGACTACGCACTTTTATTCGTGAGCCGTGATAATAGTCTTATATATTCACGGCTACAGAAATGAAATGAAATGATATGGGTTTAAAGGGACAATAACACTCTTGCTGGCTTGAAAGCTCCAGAGAACAAATAATATCTCTATCTAAGTACTAAATGTAAGTGTCCTACCTGTTGTGTAAATTATCCATTACATCCTATTTTACTTGTCCAGAGGGTTCGAAAATATTTTTAAATCCAAGTCACATTTGAAAATTTGCAACCTTTTAATCACGTCGTCAGATATGTGTTTTCCGGTCACAGATTAACGTCGGTTTTGCCAGATTGGGATTCCCGGAAATCGACCTGCTGTAAAATCCAACGGACGCCTAACGCGTCTGAATGTGTTCATATTAGAACATTTTAAGTTGAAATGTGAACACGTTAATGTTCACATATGAACACCGCAGTTCTAAAACCTACGCAAATCCTTAAAATCCGTTCAAAACCGAACACATTGTGTGCATTTTCCTTTCAATGGTCTTTGAAATCATTCACACTTAGAACACATCGGACACAGAAGACCAGTAAGGAACTCGTGGTGTTCAGTGGGTGTTCATACCAGAACATCAATTTGGACACCATGTGTTCAAGTTTGACATCGGACATGCGCATGGCGCATCACGTGATGCGGGTTATTTTCAAAATCGCCATTAATTTGCAGGAAGCTGCTTTAAATTTAAGTCTCTGACAGTTTCAACAACTGTTATTTAAGGTAAAGTATTGTTTGGTTTTTTTTGGTTTTTTTCTAATACGGTAGACAAGTTGTTTCAAAAGTCACAGGGAAACACAATCTGATTAAAATACAGATATATATTTCGTTTCGTTTTTCTATACTTTCGATGGCCTACACTACATGAAGATCTGACAAGTTATAGCTGTGGGTCACGTCAGGGGTCAAAAGACCGACTTGTGACCCTATGATGTCAGACATTTGATTAACCAACCAGCATTGGTGTTACTAGTGGATTACCCACATTTCCGTGCAAAACAAGCCTAAAGCTCGCCGTGACAGACCGTTTCATTGGCTTATCCCTGACACCATTCAGAACACGAGTTAAATAACAACTCTTCCAGATCCAAGTGTAGTAAAGACAAGTAAAACGAAATTTTGAACTATAAAACGAAACGAAATATGATCTGTGTTTTAACCAGACTGAGGGAAAATTAGATGTGTGAATTTGGAAGTAGACATTGAATTTAGGTTATATTGCTAGATTAATAACAGCTTAGGCCTATAAGCTTCTAGGCCTGGCCCTAGACCTGTGATTATTCCTTTCGAATTTGTTTTCCAAATCAACTCTGAAACTCTCGTTAAGCATATTAATTTGTGTTAATAAATTATTTCCTCTTATCAAAAAGCGCATGTATAGGAGATTTTGGGTTGAATTTGGCAAATTATTTCTTCTTCCATTTGTTTGAACACATATGGTGTTCCTTATAGAAAATATTCTGTTATAAGGAAGGTATAAAAGGCGCAATCCATTGTCCTCGTCTATGATTCTCAATACATGTATATTGATGCCTATATTATTATATATATCTAAAAATATTATTGCATTAAGCCATTAACCGTCTTCATTAGCCCAGTCGGAATAGAACAGTAGGACGTTAAAACCCTCTATTATAATAATTAGTCATCTTTTTGTCTTAATATAACAGTGCACGGTAACAGAAGATGACGAAAAAATAAAAATTGGTACAAGCCGCTGAATGGACTGCCCAGTCTTCTAGAAAAGAATCTTGTTGCAGATTCGTTCAAACGGTAAGTTTATTATGCTTAGGTATTATATCCATTTATTAGTTTACACTTTCACACTTTAATTATAAGCAATACATATATTATGCCGGTTTCCTGGGTTTTAATTGGTGTTAATATTTCTATTGCAGGTGGGGAAAGGAAATAGAGTTTAACTTCACGGGCTCATGAAGACCAACAAACATCACGTATGCAGTGAGGGAAATTTTACCCAGATGGTGGCTTTTCCGCCTATATACTCTTGCCAAGAGTTATAGGTGCTGCCAAGGCCCATCTTAACGACAAGATGCTGTGAAGGCGACGAGAAAAGAGCGAAAAGTAAACGTAGAACTAGAAGACAGTACAAGTGCACCACAGATAACTTTTTACTTGACAATAATATTACATTCAGATTCGGATATTATTATAATATGTGAATCTTTTTAATTTTAATTGGGCATAGTAGAATATCGACGTAAACAATGTTTTGTCACATTATCTCTGCCCATGTTATATTATAAAATTAAGGAAATACAATAAATTTGTAAACAGTGTTTAAATTGTTTTTAAATTGTGCCATACTTTTATCATACGAAAAATGATTTGAGTCTATTTTAACCACTTTTTAAAATGTTTGTTAATATTTCAGAGAATCTATCACAACAGAACATTCGGTGTCACTTAGAAAGCCTGGTTCCCTCTGAGTGTGAAATTCTGAACGAACGGTGTTCAAAATATGATCACCGAACACCTTTTAGTGTTCATTGCAGTTGAACACCTTATTGTATTCTAAAAAAACACGTTTTACGCGTCCCATGTGTGGAAAGATCCAGGGGGAAAAGCTGGACGTATAGTGTTATCAAAACAGAACACATTTTACGCGTCAAAAGTGTTCTAAAATCCAGAGGGAAAAACATTTAAAACTGAACACACACTGTTCTGAATGTAAACACGTAGTGTTCTGTTAGAAGAAAGACGCGTCAGGGTGTTCAAAAAGTGTTTCAAAATAGTGTTCTAAAATGGCGTATTTGGTGTTCTAAAAGTGGACGTCGGGTTTAGAGTGTGGACTCCAGTCTGCAGGCCGTGTCACGAAACCTGCCAAATTTTTCTCCGGTAACACTTATCAATACGGCATTTATATCCTGTGAGCTATTATGTTCAATGTATCTGTCGGTTTTATCTGTGTCCATGTTCCGGCGAAATACATGAAAACTCATAAAAAATAAATTTGCAACCTTTTAATCACGTCGTCAGATACGTGTGTTCCGGTCACAGATTAACGTCGGTTTTGCCAGATTGGGATTCCCGGAAATCCACGCGGCCCGCAGGCTCGAGTCCATCCATGAAACTATTCAATTGTTTTTCCGACGACTAATTTCATTATGTATAACAATCGTTGTTAATACTTGTTAAACTAATTCGGGGTGATTTCGATTTGACAGTTTTTACGTGTTTTTGGAACAGGTTTCGAAGTGTTTTGGTTCTGTTATGCAAAATCTTTTTCGAAGTTCCAAAGTAAATGTACGATGCTAAGACCACCTAAAGATAAGTTTTAAATGTTCCTATTATTAATTAGAAGAGATTTCGCTTTAGTTTTTATATTTTACGCTGACATTTATTGCTTTAAATCTTCCTAGTGTAGAAATGGAAAATTGAACCTTTTGACCTCCGGGGTCACAAAGAACAAAAGAGAATTTACCAAGTTTACATTTTTATTGAAAGAATGATTACCCTCGATCATTTTCAGCATGTTTTCATGATATATAAGGATGGCTGCGCATTCACTTTCAGTGCAAATGGCCTTATTTGACCCTTGACACCGAACATCTCGAAAACGCCCCAACTGTGGATTGATTATATCACTCGACATCGTATGCTACTCAAAATTTTACTCTAGAAAAGTTGGGTCTGGTTTTGTGCTCATTTGATGGACAACTCCCCCGCCCCTCCCGCCCGGAGTTACTGGTTTATTACTAGGAATATCACGACCGGCTAGTTCCCTTTTCGTTTTTTGGAAACAGGTCTCATCCATGGTTACAAATCTTCTGAACACTGACTCCACTTCAAGTTTTGGGAGTTGTATACAGAAGCTATGTTAGGGAGTAAAATGTCTTTTCTAGTGAGGAATTTCTCTGTCCCATATATTGTAGGTAGTTGTAGTAATAGTTTCAATAGTCATATCGTTCTTAAAAGTCATCTGCTCTACCAGAGTTTTGCGCTAGGCTACTGTTATTAGGCTAGGATTATGAATGGTGGGCTACTCTATTTATAGCCATGCTTTCTGTTCCACTTTTCAGGGCTTTGTTTGTCAATTTTTGTTAACTTTTTAATCTAGATCCAAGATGAGTGTTATAATTATATTGTCTGCAGGTTTTGGTAATAATTCATAGTTTTGAGGCAGGTGAATTACAGAAATCGCGTACGAAATGACGTACCCATGGTCAATCAGCACATTTCTATATTTTTGGCAGATGATGGTTGCACTTTTTGCTGTTAAAGAATGTTTAAAATTAATGTCAAATGACATGAATTATAATTTATTTTCGACAACACAGGGATATCTGTCTGGCGGTGGAT